AGAAATCGAGACGGGAAAAAGGTTTACATACCTCGAATAAATTTGGTACCACATGATCCAAGGCTACCCCCTAAAGTTTCAAAAAAGACAATTCCCAATAGTTTTATGTTTTGCTATGACTATTAACAAAAGTTATGGTGAAACATTATCTTTTGTTAGATTATTTTAACTAAGTCAGCATTCACTTATGATTAATTTTATGTTGTTCCTTCACGAGTGAAGAAAAATACATAATTAAAAATGTTTATTTTAGATGACAATAGAAACTCTTGCAACCATACCAAAAATGTTGTATACTCTGAAGTGTTTCAAAAATTTGGATTTTAATAAGTCTTTGTTTTGTATATACTTTCAATTCTTCAAATATTATTTATTCTATTTTGATGTTGACGTATATATAGTATTAAAAATCATGTAAGAAATTTATTTTATTTAATCCACAAAAAATAATACATGAAAAAAAGAATTGAAAAAAATTTTGTTCGGCCCCGTGCATGGCACGGGTCAAAATACTAGTGTATATATATGTGTGTGCGCGCGCGCATTGGTAAAAAAAGGGAGTATTTTTTCAACAAAAGAGAACAAAATCTAGGCCTTGTTTGGGAAGAACGTTTTCAATTAGCGTTAGCGTTTTGGATAAAATTTTAACGGTGTAGATTAACCCTGAAAACGCTAACGCTAAAGGCTACCGTCAGATAGCTTTTTCAAAACGCTAACGCTGATGCCAAACGGGGCCCTAAATCAAATAAGAAATCTTTTTCTTTGGTAAAAAAAGGGAATATTTTTATATTCAGGGAGTATATATATGTTTCATTAAATGGAGTAAATGGAATAAGTATGGAGTAAAATAAAAAAAAAGAAAGAAAGAAGATAGCGTGTGATTTTATTTTTGGAAAAATAAAGAGCCTGGGTAAACTGTAAAGTAGAGGTCTACTCCGAGCAAACAGTAGTGGTCACTGCCGGGTGGACTCCATGGCCGGAAGAAAACGGTTGAAACGCGCCGCAACCGCATTTGAAGAAGAGCCGGCGGTCGGAATCGATCTGGGAACCACTTATTCCTGCGTTGGAGTATGGCGGCCACAGCACAACCGTGTTGAGATCATCCCCAACGATTTAGGGAACCGTACGACGCCGTCATGGGTTGCCTTCACCGACGTCCAGCGCCTTGTAGGCGAATCTGCCCAGAACCAGGCCCCCATGAATCCCTCCAATACCATCTTCGGTGCGTTTTTTTTTTTTTTGCTTAAATAAAAGTTTTGATTCAATGTTTTGGCATGAATTGCATTTACTCCGCACAAATAATTCAACTTTTTGAATTACATATCAACATAGTACTCAAAGAGAAGCTCACTAGCTTTGAGTTCCCTTTTTAAGTTACTTTCCCCACTAATTAATTTTCTGTTGTTACCAAAAATCTATCAAATAGGGAATGTGATTCGCTTGGTAGGGAAGGTCATGTGTGGCTTATTATGCATTGGTTTTATATGAATGACAGATGTGAAGAGGCTGATAGGCAGAAAGTTTAGTGATGTAACGGTGCAAAACGACTTGAAGCTCTGGCCTTTTAAGGTCATCCCTGGCACCAATGGCAGTAGTGGTGGTGGAAAGAAACCAATGATATCTGTCACTTACAAAGGTGAAGAGAAGCTATTCGCCGCTGAGGAGATATCTTCAATGATCCTCCATAAGATGAAGAGTATTGCTGAGGCCTATCTAGGCAAACAAGTCAAGAATGCTGTTATCACCGTTCCTGCCTACTTCAATGATGGCCAGCGCCAAGCAACAAAAGATGCTGGTTTCATTGCCGGGATTAATGTGCTGCGCATCATCAATGAGCCCACAGCTGCTGCAATTGCCTATGGTCTTGACAACAAAATATCCAAAAGTGGTAGTTCTGCTTCAAAGAACATACTGGTTTTTGATCTCGGTGGTGGGACTTTTGATGTCTCCATTGTTACAATGGAGAAGGATATGTTTGAAGTTAAGGCAGTTAAAGGGGACACCCACCTTGGGGGAGGAGATTTCAATAACAGGATGGTGAGCCACTTTGTAGCTGAATTTGAAAGGAAACACAAGAAAGACATCAGTGCAAATCCCAGGGCTCTAGGGCGCTTAAGAGCAGCTTGTGAAAGGGCCAAAAGAACCCTCTCTGCAACTACTGAAACATCTCTTGATATTGAGTGTCTATTAGAGGGCATCGATTTCTCTTCAAACATCACTCGCGCACGGTTTGAGAAAATGAATTTGGATCTGTTCAATAACTGTATTGAGCTAGTTGAGAATTGTTTGAAAGATGCCAAAATGGAGAAGAGCCACATTCATGACATTGTTCTCGTTGGTGGGTCCTCCCGTATCCCAAAGGTTGAAGAATTGGTACAAAAGCTCTTCTCTGGAAACAAGTTCTATAAGAGTATAAACCCAGATGAGGCTGTTGCCTGTGGAGCAGCTTTTCATGCTGCATCTCTCACCGGTGCCTGTTTGGGTGTGAATAAGGATGTTGTCCTTTTGGATGTTGCTCCATTATCTCTTGGGATTAGGCTGCAGGGAGGTGAAATGTCTGTTGTGATTCCAAGGAATACCCCCATCCCTACAAAGAGGACAAAGCACAATTACACAAATGCTCATGACAATCAAACATCTGCTTTGTTCTCTGTGTATGAGGGAGAAATGCCAATAGCAAAAGACAACTATTTCTTGGGAGAATTTTCCCTCCACAACGTTCCTCCAGTGCCCAGAGATGTTGCTAAGTTTGATGTTGATTTTAAAATCGATGCCAATGGCATCTTGACTGTGTCTGCAGTGCTGACGGGTAGTGACAATAGGGACCAAATCACCATAACCAATCACAGCGCTAGGTTGTCGAAGAAGGAGATCGATCGGATGGTGAAGGAGGCTGAGGAGTACAAGGCTCAAGATGAGGAGCGCAAGAAGGCATCAGTGGCTAAAAATGCATTGGAGAATTACATTCACCACTTGAGGGGCACGTTGAGTAAATTTGGATATAGGGTTGAGACGAAGGACAGAGTAATTCTGCGAGAAGCAGTTGAGAAAACAGTCTGTTGGTTGGAGTGGAATTACCTTCTCGGCGATGCTCTCAAGTTCGAGGAAAAGATGAAGGAGCTCGCAGTCATATGTGAGCCTCTTATTACAAAGATGGTGGAGTCTCGGCAGGGAAGTGTCAAGGTTGAGATCATTGACATAGACGACTGACTAGTGGGCACTGAGATGAATCCTGAAACTCAGTTTTATCAGGTTCAGATTATGGCATGTTCTAAACTTTTTGTTAGGCAGTATACTTAAACTTTAGTTGGCTAATGAATCTTGAAACTCGTTCTTGTTTCGCAGTTGTGGTCTTTTGATTTCTCTGGTGCAGTACGCAAGAACTTCACCGGAATTTTGTACATCCATGTAACGAACCCCTTGTTAATTTTATGCTTAAATTGCTAATCTTGGTTGCACCTCCCCGAGTTTTAGTCCCATTTTATGGGTAACATTCCATCGTGTTGTCTTCATTTCTGCTTGTTCTTTGTCCAATTCTACTGATGTTCCCTTGTATGATTCTTTGTGACTCACTCTCTCTTAACATATCTCAGTTGTTTAATAGAAAACCCTGGATCCTAAGTTGAACAAGCATGTTTCCCCTTATTGTCATTGAATACATTGTTGCATGTATTTTTCCACATTCCCTTGCTTTCCTAAAACTAAGTGAACAACAACAACAACAACAACCCAGTTAAATCCCACAAGAGTAGGGTTTGGGGAGGGTGTGTGTACGCAGACCTTGCCCCTACTCGAAAGTAGAGAGGCTGTTTCCAAAGAGACCCCCGGCTCAACATCGAAAGTTGCAGTGTTTGACTAACTGCTACTTCATTAATTAAAGAAGCGCAGATAGTTTAGAGATCCATTTTGATTTATTCCATCACACCCCAAAGCCAAAAATGGTGAAATTTTGACTCCATCAGAGATGATGGAAAAGAATAACTTTATCTATGGTCTGAACTCTGATGGTCTTCTANGTTGCATGTATTTTTCCACATTCCCTTGCTTTCCTAAAACTAAGTGAACAACAACAACAACAACAACCCAGTTAAATCCCACAAGAGTAGGGTTTGGGGAGGGTGTGTGTACGCAGACCTTGCCCCTACTCGAAAGTAGAGAGGCTGTTTCCAAAGAGACCCCCGGCTCAACATCGAAAGTTGCAGTGTTTGACTAACTGCTACTTCATTAATTAAAGAAGCGCAGATAGTTTAGAGATCCATTTTGATTTATTCCATCACACCCCAAAGCCAAAAATGGTGAAATTTTGACTCCATCAGAGATGATGGAAAAGAATAACTTTATCTATGGTCTGAACTCTGATGGTCTTCTAAAAGGAAAGTTCAGATTACAATATTTAACTGAAGTTAATTTCAACTCAGTTTTTTTTCAAATTTGTATCCAACAAAAAGTAAAAATTATATATTTAAAAACTATTTCAAAAGATCCGTAAAACTAGAGGTGAGACATGACTATATTATTTTATCTTATGAACAACAAAAGTATATAAAGAAAGTGAAAAAAGTTTGGTCATGCGAATAATTGTTCGAGTCTTTGAGGCAAAACTAATACTCCCTTAGGGTATTTTCTAATGTAATTCCAATTTCTTCTATCACAAATTTTTTGTAGTTTCTTCTAATGTCTTACATTTTTCTAAATCTTTCTAATTTCCTCCACTAGAAATACATACAGACATACAGTCCTATGCATTCTTCCCTCCTGCCCATTTCTAATAGAACAGGTAAGTTGTTCCTCATTTGTCAATTTCCTATTTGTTTTCATTTTTTAATAAATCTTATTTATTTCTTCTTGTATTCATTTCTGGCTTCATTGATTCCAGATCGTTTGACATTGATGAATATATTGAGCTTGAATGTATATTTTACAAATTGAGAACAACTTGCTCATTTAGATTAGTGTTCTTGAAGTTCAATGTTCCAACAAGGCAACAAGATTTGCTCATTTTAACATATCACCTTTGACTTTGTAAATTAGTCTCTAGTGGTATGTTTGGATCCCGGAAAATGCTAGGGAAATGGGGAAAAGGCTAAGAAAAGATATTTTATTTGGTTATGAAAAAACTCTAAATAATGTATAAATTTTTATGTGATTAGTATTTAAAAAAAATCTACCGCTAGCTCTTATTCGTCATGCAATGAAGATCTGACTCTCTACTGCTAGAGCCTATCTTCACAAAATTGCTTCTGCCGGCTCAATTCTAATACATGTGCTCCAATTTGCGTCTTGTTACCGATGATCAACTTGCGATGGGATATTACAAATAATAGATGTATTTTGGAAATAGAATATTACTCCCTCCGGTCCTAAAAACATGGGAGTTATTGATTTTTAAGAGATTTAAGGGAAGTGTATTTTGGTATTGAATTTCCAAAAAAGTCCTTTGATGTGATGGATAAAAGTAGAATTTGATGGGTAGATTATTAGTAAAAAAGGTATGGTGTGATAGGTAGGGTATGAATAAGTAAGGGGTAAAAGTGACTTTTTAATAGAAATAGGAAGTGTTTTTTGGGACGAATGAAAAAAGAAAGGAGAAAGATTTTCATGGACAGAGGGAGTATTATTTATTATCTTACTTATTCTATTGTTACTATAATTTTATCCTACTTAGATTAAAATTCTTTCATGTAATTTCTATATATAGAGATGCATTCTTCATTATTTAATAAGACCAATTATTATCAAATTGTATCAGAAAAATATTGATACATCTCCAAACTGAAAAAAGATATTTTACCTCTCCGTTTCCCTTCACCTTTAAAACGGAGGGAAAATATATTTAATAAGTAAATTTGAAAGTTATGAGATATGCCTCTTCATTTGCCTTGTTCCTTGGAGTGGCTCCAACCCCCTACTTAGATTTTTTTTAGGTAGGAAACAAAATAAAAGTAGAAAATTTGGAAGAAGAAAATAAATATATTTTCCCTCCTCACATGTTTGGATATTTTAGAGTTGAAGAAAAAAAATCTATTAATTTACCTCATAAGAATTTGGAATTGTTTACTACACCCTTTGTCCCAAAAAATGACCTTTTCATTTCTTTTTTGAGACATCTAAAAAAAGATTCATCTTTATAGTTTTTGATTTTTTTTTGAGACTCGTAATATTTCTCTTCTATTGCATTTCTTTTAATTATACAATTTTACTCCCAAGCTACCTCAACAAAAAGTGCACAGATCTAAGCCTCCAGACTCCAACACATTACCATCTACTCCTAATCTAACATACAGTACCACAAGGAAGCAAAATTATAAAAGTAGATCAAACATAACAACTTCCCTTAGCAGTTAAGAATGTACAAACATGAAATCTGATCACTTGGATAGTCTCCTCCTCTAATATTAGAGTGTTTACTAGTATCACACCCGTGCGTTGCACACCTCGCATTTATATCATTAAATTATATTTGGATCATTATTGAAGAATAGAAATTAGTATACAATATATTATAAAGTTCAGTCTTTTAAAGGATTGAATATAAAAATTTTATCTTTATCACAGTGGAATAAGCAATACTAATATTTAAAAAAATTAGTAAATTACATTTATTTTACAACCTCATAATAAATGTGAAAGTTATTTTTTTATTTATTGAACATCTTTTGAATGAGTTTAAATTTTTAAATGGATGACATTTTGCCCATTATTAAATCTTATTATGTTTGTCCTTACAAAACAATTGTTATTCAAGGTTATTTGAATTCTTACCATTTATAGATAAGTGTTTTTTATTTTTCATTTTAGTTTATTTCATCAATTGATTTATTTCCATTTAAAAATATGTACTAAAATATACTATGTTGAATATTTATTTCTTGCCATTTTTAGATGGGTGTTTTTATAATAAAATATATGTTTCATCCGTTGATTTATTTCCATTTATACTAAAATTTACTATGTTGAATATTTATTTCTTGCCATTTTTAGATGATGTTTTTATACTAAAATACTTAATTTTACCCGTTGATTTATTTACATTTATATTAAAATTAACTATGTTGAATATTTATTTCTAAATATTTTCCAAAAATAAACCCTATTGCAAGGCTATTTACTAAACTATTTATAAAAATATATACTAAAGAAAAGACGCCTCAATGTGAGATAAGGATGTCATTTTTGGAGAAAAAAAGACAGTGAAGGTAAAAGTTTGAGAAAAAAGCCAATAAGCACCAGCACAGAGAAACTCCCCATAATAAGCTCATTATATAATAAAAAGTCCATATATAACAAATTTTTCTAAGATAAATATATACCTCTCAATATATAATAAAAAGCATATATATAAAGAAAAATAAAAATATGAATAATATTATTCATTTCCCTCCTAGAATCTTTGACCGTGATTAATAAAAATATTTATATTTATTTATTTATTAAAATTCATGTATAACAAATTTTCCTAAAATAAATCTAGACCATCCCTAGAAACTTTGGCCGGGATTAATAAAAATATTTATATTTATTTAATTATTAAAGTCCATATACAACAAATTTTCTTAAAATAAATCGAGACCACCCCTGAAACTGTGATTATGATAAATAAAAATATTTGTATTTATTTATTTATTTATTAAAGTCCACATGGAACAAATTTGTCCTAAAATAAATTTAGACCACCCGCTGTAATTAAATAATGATGGTGCCAATCTCCATATATAATAAGCTCTTTATGTAATAAAAATCCATATATAACAAATTTTCCTAAGATAAATCTAGACCTCTCCATATATAATAAAAAGCATAGATATAATGAAAAATAAAAATACGAATAATATTATGCATTTCCCTCCTAGAACCTTTGACCGTGATTAATAAAAATATTTATATTTATTAATTTCTTTATTAAAATTCATATATAACAAATTTTCCTAAAATAAATCTAACCATCCCTAGAAACTTTGACCGTGACTAATAATAATATTTATATTTATTTATTAAAGCCCATATATAATAAAATTTCCTAAAATATATCTAGACCACGCCTATAAATTTTGACCGTGATTAATAATAATATTTATATTTATTTATTAATTAAATTATTAACTCCACATATATAAAATTTTCCTAAAATAAATCTAGACCTCTCCATATATAATAAAAAGTTCTAACACGTCTTTATTAAAGTCCATATATAAAAACTTTTCCTAAAATAAATCTATACCACCCCTAGAAACTTTGAAAATGATTAATAAAAAATATTTATATTTATTTATTAAAGCGCATATATAACAAAGTTTCCTAAAATAAATCTAAACCACCCTAGAAATTTGACCGTGATTAATAATAGTATTTATGTTTATTTATTTATTAAATTCCATATAAAGCATTTTTCCCTAAAATACATCTAAATCTCTCCATATATAATAAAAAGTCAACACATCCATGGGCGAGAAATTGGTCAAAGAATTTCCCTCTTTTTAAATAAAGTATAGATGTGAAGTAAGGGGTTTCTGGCTCTCCAAATGAAATAGGCACATGCAGCAAGAACAACAATCATACTTAGTCTGCATTTAGCCGGGTTAACTCTTTTCAAATTGTCAAAGATATCTCCAATCAAATTCGCCTCAAATTTGTAGTGAATCAACTAATTAATCCCCAAGTACACTTTTTATATATATGACAAGTACACATAGGATGTTGGCAGTCTTCATTATTAGATTTGCAGAGAAAACCGAGGGTATCAATAAGGATGTATCTACTGATCTTTTGTTTAGTCTGCAATCTATCCTTGCAAATCAACCATAAGATAAACTTATGCTTATGGATAGTAAGCTTATTCCAAACAATCTGAGTCCAGGTAGGTGACTCTTTTTGTCCCATAAGCCATTGGTATCTAATCTTGGGGTATATGGGATGTGTTTGTCCATAGCAGTAAATTTCTCCCTGGTTTTAAGAAGTTTCTTCGAGTAAAAGCATGAGTCTATCTTGGTTGGACAATCCTAAATGGTATTATCTCTGAATATATCTTATATGGACCCACTTGATCCACAAGATATCTTTCTTCAAAGCAATGCCCCAAATCAGATTCATAATGCAAGCTTTGTTCCACCACACAAAATTTTTAAACCCCAAGCCTTCATTATTCTTTGGGATACAGATATCATCCCAGACAGCTTGTGGGACTTTGTTGTATTCAAGAGAGGAACTCCACAAGAAAATTCTGTACAGAGCTTGGATCTTCTTCATCACTTTTGTAGGGATTAAAAAGAGCTTGCTTCAAAAAATAATAATCCCATAAAAAATAGTATTGATCATATTAATTTTTCCAGCATATGAGAGGTGTTTAGATGACTAAGAAGTGATTTTGGTAGCCATACTCTCAACTAATCTATCACATTCCTTATTACTAATCCTGGATGAGGTGAGTGGGGCGTCCTAGATATCTCAATGGAAGAATACCTCTCTTCATGTTAGTAATGTGTAGGATTTTCTCCTCTAGATCCTTAGAAATTCCCCAAAAAATTATCTCTGATTTTGATTTGTTCACAAAGAGGCTTGTAGTACACTTGAAATGATCCAAGGTATGCATTATTCAATTGACAGATTTCTCCTTAGCTTTACAAGTCACAATCAGATCATCAGCAAACACAATGTTTATAAGATTAACAGACTTGCAAAGTAGATGAAATGTGAAGTTCTCCCTCTTAAAAAAGTAACGGAAATCCCTAGTAAGGTATTTCATAATAAGATAGGAGAAATGGGATCACCTTGCCTTAAGTCCTTTCTGCCTTTGAAGTAGACATGTTTCTCTCCTCCAAGCTTAATAGGATAAGAGGTGGTGGTAACACAAAAACTGATCCATTTAATAAACTTTGAAGGGAATTTGAGCATCGATAGGAGTTGCTCAAATGCCTTCCAACTAACATTATCATAGGTCTTTTGAAGGTCTAACTTCATCGGCATCTTGGAGATATGCCCTTTCTATTGAATCCCTTGCCAATTCTCGGCATAGCAATACATTATAGACTAATTCCCTGCCTTCTATAAATGCTCTTTGGTTCAGGTTAACAATACTTGGTAGGACTTTTTTGAGTCTTCTACAGATAATCTTAGAAATGACCTTATATAGAACATTACAACAAGCTTTAAGTCTAAGATCAGTAGGGCTTGTAGGATTCTCCTTCTTAAGCTTAACAATATTATTGGTCGCATTGATCTATTTTATAGTATCATCCTTATGAAGAAAACTCAAAATAGCTTTAGTAACAACCCCCCCCCTCCCTCTCAACACTTTTGACCATTAGTTTTCCGGACCTGGACTTTTATGATTTGGGATCTCAAATAAGTATTTCTTAATTTCTTTAGGAGTGACTGGAGAGATTAATAGTAGTTGTTGATCAATGGTTAAACCATTGCCCATATCAACTAAATCTTTATTTAACTAAACTAATCAAAGTTGGTTAACTTTGTACTAAACTAAAAAATCAAAAATTTTCAACTATATAGTTTTATTTTTTTTAAATCTTGTGTAAAAAAAAAACAACTCATTTGGAGCCGAATGAAATAATCAAACTTTCCTCACATTTAAAGATGAAAAAGTACATAATTTGATACTCCGCCCTCATTTTCCTTTACCCTCCCAAATAAAAGGTAAAAGTAGGCAAGTAGTGGTCTATTCTAAGCAAACAGTGGTCGTCATCTACCCCTACTTCACTCACTTGGTAACTAACTACTCGTGGGACGCCATGGACGGAAGAAAAAGGCAGAAACGCGCCGCAACCGCCGAAGAAGAGAGTCCGGCCATCGGAATCGATCTCGGAACCACTTATTCTTGCGTCGGAGTCTGGAGGCCTAAGCACAACCGTGTTGAGATCATCGCCAACGATTTGGGCAACCGAACGACGCCGTCTTGGGTTGCCTTCACCGACGTCCAACGCCTTGTTGGCGAATCTGCCCAGAACCAGGCCCCCATGAATCCCTCCAATACCATCTTCGGTGCGTTTTTTTTTTTGCTTAAATAAAAGTTTTGATTCAATGTTTTGGCGTGATAATGATCAATTGATCATTGGCTCCCCCCTCCACCCCGAATTGATTTAACTCTGCACAAATACTTCAAGTTTTTGAATTACTTAGTTAACACTATTCTCAAGGAAAAGTTCACTAGCATTGAGTTCCCTTTTTAAATTACATTCCCGGCTAATTAATTTTCTGTTTTTGCCAAAAAAATCTATCAAATTTGGAATATGATTGGTATAGTATGGTATGGAAGGTCATATGTGGCTTATTATGCATTGGGTTTATATGAATGATAGATGTGAAGAGGCTGATAGGTCGAAAGTTCAGTGATGTATCGGTGCAAAACAACTTGAAGCTCTGGCCTTTTAAAGTCATCGCTGGCCCTGATGGCGGCAGTGGTGGTGGAAAGAAACCAATGATATCTGTCACTTTCAAAGGTGAAGAGAAGCAATTTTCTGCTGAGGAGATATCTTCAATGATCCTCCAAAAGATAAAGAATACGGCAGAGGCTTATCTACGTAGGCAAGTAAAGAATGCTGTTATCACCGTTCCTGCCTACTTCAATGATGGCCAGCGTCAAGCAACAAAAGATGCTGGTTTCATTGCCGGGATTAATGTGCTGCGTATCATCAATGAGCCCACAGCTGCTGCAATTGCCTATGGTCTTGACAACAAAATATCCAAAAGTGGTAGTTCTGCTTCAAAGAACATACTGGTTTTTGATCTCGGTGGTGGGACTTTTGATGTCTCCATTGTCACAATGGAGAAGGATATGTTTGAAGTCAAGGCAGTTAAAGGGGACACCCACCTTGGGGGAGGAGATTTCAATAACAGGATGGTGAGACACTTTGTAGCTGAATTTGAAAGAAAACACAAGAAAGACATCAGTGTGAATCCTAGGGCTCTAGGGCGTTTAAGAGCAGCTTGTGAAAGGGCCAAAAGAAACCTTTCTGCAACTACTGAAACGTCTCTTGATATTGAGTGTCTATTTGAGGGCATTGATTTCTCTTCAAGCATCACCCGTGCACGATTTGAGAAAATGAATTTGGATCTGTTCAATAATTGTGTTGAGCTAGTTGAGAATTGTTTGAAAGATGCCAAAATGGAGAAGAGTCACATTCATGATATTGTTCTGGTTGGTGGGTCCACCCGCATCCCAAAGGTCGAGGAATTGATACAAAAGCTCTTCTCTGGAAAGAAGCTGTGTAAGAGTATAAACCCAGACGAGGCTGTTGCCTGTGGAGCAGCTTTTCATGCTGCATCCCTGACTGGTGCCTGTTTGGGTGTGAGCAAGGATGTTGTGCTTTTGGATGTTACTCCTTTATCTCTTGGTGTTGAGCTGCACAGCGGTGAAATGTCTGTTGTGGTTCCAAGGAATACCACCATCCCTACAATGATGACAAAGATTATGCATACTGTTTTTGACAACCAAACAAGCATTCGGTTCCCCGTGTTTGAGGGGGAAATGCCAATAGCAAGGGACAACTATTTCCTGGGCAAATTTACCCTCTATAACATTCCTCCAGCACCCAAAGCTGTTCCTAAGTTTGATGTTGATTTTGAAATCGATGTCAATGGCATCTTGACTGTGTCTGCAGTGCTGAGGGGTAGTGACAATAAGGACCAAATCATTATAACCAATCACAGCGCTAGGTTGTTGAAGGAGGAGATTGATCGGATGGTGAAGGAGGCTGAGGAGTACAAAGCTCAAGATGAGGAGCAAAAGAAGGCATCAGTGGCTAAAAATGCATTGGAGAGTTACATTCACCACTTGAGGGGCACTTTGAGTAAATTTGGATATAGGGTTGAGACGAAGGACAGAGTAATTCTGCGAGAAGCAGTTGAGAAAACGGTCTGTTGGTTGGAGTGGAATTACCTTCTTTGCGATGCTCTCAAGTTTGAGGAAAAGAGGAAGGAGCTCGAGGTCATAAGTGAGCCTCTAATTACAAAGATGATACAGTCTCGGCAGGAAAGTGTCAAGGTCGAGGTCATTGAGATAGACGACTAGTGGGCACTGATGAATCTTGAAAGTCAGTTTTATTAGGTTCAGATTATGGCATGTTGTAAACTTTTTGTTAGGCAGTAGACAGTATAAAAACTTTAGTTGGCTAATGAATCTTGAAACTTGTTCTTGTTTTGCAGTAGTGTTCTTTTGATTCCTCTGGTGCAGTTGTGTTCTGTTGATTTCTTGTATTTTGTGCTTAAAATTTTTTATAGTGTTTTTTTGTTCTTGCAAGAAATACAGCAGGAAATATGGATAGCACTCTAACACCTATTGTCTACACACTCATCGAGAAAAGCTCTTCACATTTTATAATATTGATCTTATTTACAGCAGCAGCAGAAGAAAAAGTTCATGCCAAAATGCTGCGGCATATATTGGCCCGGGTAAGATATTACTCTGTAAACCCGTCTCCTCGATTTCCCACTACTGCACATCACTTTTTCACGATCTTACAAACCGTTTCACGTAGAATTTGAAGAAGAGGACAAGGAAAGCCAATCGTCTATACATTTAGTGCATATACTCTCATACAGAGTTCTGAAGAAAGTGTCATATTGTGTTGGCTAGGAATTAAGTTTATCGACTCTTCAAGACGATAAAGATCGACAGAGGAGCGGAGGAGCCGATCAGTTTAAGCTATAAACGCTGCCGCTGTACAGACGATAGAGGAGCGGGCTCAGGGTTCTCCAACCGCATCTCCACAACTTCCCCAGATGTGGAGTTTTGAGTATGTTAGTTTTGGTATGTTTGAGTATGTTAATTTTGGTTCCTCGCTTCGTCTTCATTGTTTATTTGTTAAGGTTAGTAAATGAATAGTCTGTTTTCTCTGTAATAGAAGTGTTTTTGGATGTTTCTTATCGTGCATCATAATATATTACGGAGTATATAATATTCTTATCGTGCATCACACGAGTTAGTATGAAATAAAAATACCTAGTACGGGCTATAGAGTAAAAAAAGATTGTGTGATTTGTTGGGGATGAAGAAGATAACACGGATAAATTGAGAGTCGTGTATAACACTTTCAGATTGAATATTTTGGGAGGTCAATCTAAAATTTAATCGGATAAAACTCAAAGTTATCAAGAACAAGTATGAATCTGTTGTGTATTTCCGAACTGTATGATTTTCGACCAAGGAACAACGGGATTTATAGAGCCGCGGAAGGGAAGAGGCTGCGGTCGTGTCTCTCGCCCAAAACGCACGTCCCTTTGCGCGAAATTTAGAAAACGGTGCTATAATTTGTATAAATTATAAAACTTTAGTTGGCTAAATGAATCTTGAAACTTGTTCTTGTTTTGCAGTTGTTTTGTTCTTTTGATTTTTTCTGGTGCAGTACGTAAGAGCTTCACTCGAAACTTGTTCTTGTTTTGTGGGCAAATTGCTAATCTTGGTTACACCCCCAAGTTTTAATCCCATTTTCTACCATTGTTACAATTATTTTGTAATAAAAAATTCAATGCTCCTCAACTGTAAAAAAAAAAAAAACACAATCGTCAATTATGTCTACTTATATAATTTTATATCATTATGCTTTTATTGTTTTGTAATTTTTATTTTATGCGATTTTATATATATATATATATATATATATATATATATATATATATATATATATATATATATATAAGAAACAAAACACATTTTTATGCAATTTTATACAGAGTATTTTAATTTTTTTGAAAAAAAAGCACAAAAACACCTGAAGGAGCAAAAATGGCTCTTTTTCTTCCCATTGAACATGCCATTTTATATTTCAATTATGTTTACTTATGTACTCCTTAATTTTAATTTATTGTGTTTTTGGTTTTATTTTATGGAATATATTTTATGTGTTTTTACTTGAATGATTTTTTAAAAATGCACTTATTATGTTTTATGTGTGTTGGTTTTATATAATTTTCTCTATAATTTTATGTTGTGGACTTTCTTAATGGTTAATTATATTTATAAATAAATTTGGTAGAAAATATAGAGTGTAATATAATTATGCATTAGATAATTAATTAAATAGAAATAAGAGTTAATAGAATAAAAGATAGTAGAATACTCATGTAGCAAAGTCTGAAAGAGTATGAGGATTGATATAGTTTTTCTAAAAGTCTGGAGAAGAAACTAAAATAGTATAATGCTGACGTGATAGTTTTTCTGAAAGTCTGGAGAAGATACTAAAATAGTAATATGCTGACGTGACAAAGTTAAAAAGAGTCTGAAGACTCTTTGCATTGTGGATGTCCTAAGAAGCACAAGAATTTTTATTTATTTATGCATAAAAATATTCAAAAATTACATTTTACTATTTCACTTTTCTACTCATTGCCTAAAAAGATTATCTCATTTTACTAATTCAAAAATCAAGGGATTTCTGTTTTATTTATGCATTTTTATTGATAATTTAATAAAATAATTTTTTTCACCATTTATTTTGTAAATCTTTTGACGTAGTTTTTAAATAGCATGTAAGTATTTTTTTATTTCTATACTAATATTTTAATATAATAATTTTAAAAAATAAAAATTTTCTTTCTTTTTGTGCAAAGTGCACAATATTTTGAGACGGATGAAGTATTTGTTTTCTTCTACAGAGTAACATTTACTCCTTAACTTTTTTCTAATCCAAAAAAAGGACGTGTCTCGGACATACGGTCTTTCAGACACTGACAAAGATGATTTTTCATGCGAGTTTGGTTTTCTTAAACATTTATTTTGGCAAAAACAATTTTTTCCCTATGTCTTTTTTGTGATGCAAATTACTACCTCCGTCTCACTCTCTTTATCCACAATTGACTTTTGGAACTGTTCATCTAAGCACTTTGACTCATCAAATTCTCTCAATGTGTAAGCCTAAATATAGTCATGTGTGATCTTGTTTGATTTATCTTAACATACAGATTATTAATATATAATTTCTATAATTTTTTAATATACAAATTACATGATAAAATGAATTAAAGAAGTGCATTGGATGGTGTGCCAAAAGGTAAGTGGACAAAGAGAGTGGGACGGAGGGAGTATAATTTTCACCGAGTAATTAATACGGAGTATAGTGTATAAAGTATGGTATGAGATTTATTTTGTACGTCGAAATAAAGTTAGATTCTTTATTTCAATTTTTCATCTAGTTAATATTCACGGCAAGGTTCGGTTAACACTGTGATCTAGTGTCAACGGATGACACTCACTTATTTTGAGCACTTCCAAGACTTCGTTCTTAAAATTGATGGTTCATATCCCCCCTAACCCACCTCTTAAACCCTCACCGCACCCCACCCTAGTCCCACCCCGCATCCGTACCCTAGACCCCTCCTTTTATATCGCTACTCTAGCCAGTTTAATCAGTTTCACATTTAGGTTCTGTTCCGTTCAACTTCTTTTTTCTGATCTGATCTGATTTTAATAAGTTCTGATCTGATCTGATTGGATCTGATCTGATCTGATCTACTTAGATCTGATCTGATCTGATCTGATTAGATCTGATCTGATCTGATCGGATCTGATTTGATCTGATTGGATCTGATCTGATCTGATTGGATCTGATCTGATCTGATTGGTTCTGATTTGATTGAAAATTGTAATGATAATTCATATTATAATATAATCAATATTTTTATGATTATTTTTTAATGAAACAAAATTAATTAACTCATATATTAGAATAATCATTCATATTATAATGTAATAATATTTTTTATTTTATGATTTTTTTAATGAATAATATTGATTTAATATTTTAATAATTAGTTTATATAAACATTAGAATAATTATTTAATTTATATATGCACTAAAATGTTATTTAATAATCATTAATATTTTTATTAAAAGATCACATCCTTATATTATCAATGTTAAGCAAAGAAATAATACATTTTTCATTAATAATTAAAGATTACTTTCTCGGGTTTCTATTTTGCTTGTTTATAAAGTTTATTATTTTTCATTTTTAAGAAAACAATTGTGCTTCATATCATTTATTTTAGTCTACATAAATTATAATCACACAAAAAGTTTCATGTTCTTTCTTCTTATATTTTTTAAATAGAATTAAATTTATTTTTTAAAAGAACAGTATCAAGTAAAACAACTAAAAAATATGGAATTTAAAAAGTAAGGAGTAATAAAGATATTGATAATGATAATAATAGTAGTAGTAGTAGTAGTAATAATAATAATAATAATAATAATAATAATAACAATAATAATAATAATAATTCTTATTTGGATCTGATCTGGTCTGATCTGATCTGATTGGATCTGATCTGATTTGATTAGATCTGATCTGATCTGATCTGATTGGTTCTGATCTGATGATCTGATCTGATCTGATTTTAATAAGATTAAGAAAAAATAATTCTTATTTGGATCTGATCTGGTCTGATCTGATTGTATCTGATCTGATCTGATTAGATCTGATCTGATCTGATTGGATCTGATCTGATCTGATTAGATCTGATCTGATTTGATTAGATCTGATCTGATCTGATTGGATCTGATCTGATCTGATCTGATTGGTTCTGATCTGATCTGATCTGATTTTAATAAGATTAAGAAAAAAGTAGAAAAAATAAGTTGAACGGAACGGGGCCTTAATAATGTGAAGTTATTTTTGGTGATATGGCATCAAAAGTATTGAGTTAGTTATATTGACAACGTTCCGTTCAACTTATTATTTCTACTTATCACTTATTCTTATTAAAATCGGATCAGATCAAACTAGACACGATTATATCCAATCAAATCAAATCAGATTAGATAAGATCATATTCAATCAAATCAAATCAGATCGCATCCAATCAATATTATTATTATTATTATTATTATTATTATTATTATTATTATTATTATTATTATAACCTATTATTGTGATCAAGTTGTAAGAAGAGATCGAGGCATGGAGTCATAGAGGAACATGTCTCGTCACGAAAAAGGACAACACCCACACTCGCTTATTGTTGTTGTTGTTGTTATTGTTGTTTTTGTTGTTATTGTGTGGATTCATAGCTTGTCTGAACCAAAATTTTAGTTTCTACACCCACCACTATGAACCATTTCAAAAAAGATCAAAAGTACTGCTCGTGACAACTATACACATAATTTTTAAATCTTTTTTTAATTTAAAAAAAATTATATTTTGTAGCATAACATTCATATTTTCTAATGATTAGATATTTCAATAATAATAATACTCTCACTTCTAAATATTGAATATTATAAAGTAAATGATTAAAGTTTTTAATTATTAGTTGTTATCAACAATTTTTTATTCTAATGTACTCTGGGTATGTATGAATTGATTATTTTTATTTCATAAATCCAATAGTTCTATAATAAACTGTATTCATTGTACTATACTAATAATGATCACTATAAATTTTAAAAAGTTATTACATTATGGTAATGGTTTTAAGTTATATTTGAATCGAATTTAGATCTAATAAAATTTATTCAGATCAAATCTAATCAGATTCAATATAATCAAATCAGATTCAATCGGATCAGATCAGGTCTAATCAGATCAGATCAGAAATTCAAAAAATCTGATTAGATTAGTGGAATGGAATGCAACCATAGCCACACATTTAAAGCAATGGAGTTAATGATGTGAAAACCATTCAGTTTTTTCTAATAACTTAGGTTATGTTATTTTTAGTTAGAAAAATTAATTTCTAACTTTCTTCTAGCTCTTTCTACTTTTTTTCAACTTCTTCCAAATTTTTCAATAACTTAAAAATGTATTTACATATGATGACTATACAATAACATTTTATATCCAAACTTATAACAAAATACCTCAAACACAGACAAAGATGCATTTCTTTTTATATCTAGAATTAGTTTTCTTATATATTTATTTGTGTTATCATTTATTTAAATAATTTTTTAACACTTTCCAGTATTTCAAAAGTATATCTAGTTTTTTATAACTTTTTATAGTGGTAGAAGGACCAAAATAAGAGTAAAAGGGATGTCATATCCCAAAATATGAGTTGAAAGATAAAATCTTCAAAATAGCAGTTGCTCACTCACCCAATTATCTCATTTCCGCTGATTTGCTCTCCTCCTTGCCGATATGTTCCATCAACACACTCCATCCTTTCCTTGGTTTCTCTGTTCACTTTGAGCCAATTTTAATTCATGAGGATAGCCCAGAAAAAAATTACTCATCTTCAATGATCGCAGAGACTCCCAACCCATAGAGCTAAGGGATTGCTCTTATAAGTCTCTCGTGAAATGCACTACTGAAATTTCTTTTCTCACCTTGTTTAATTTGATTCATTTTTCGTACTTTCTTGATAATGGATTATGAAAGATCGGAAAAATAAAATGTCATCACTAATTTGAACTACTCATGTTACTGCTCACGCTGGGATTTAATTTATTTTTTACCCCCATTTTAATTTATTAATGTATTTAATTATTGATAAAATAAATGATATTCTAGCTATTAAGGCGGAACAACAAAACTACTCTCTACCATTGTCGCCAACACCACCACCACCAGCACAATCTGCACCGTCAACTTTACAGTGCCACATCAACTGTCAAATATAGTGTCAAAAAAATATAATGTCAAACATGACACCATATAATGTCACAAATGCCAATGCATAATGCCACAGATGCCCATATATAATGTCACAAAAATGAATTCAAAGTGTCACACAAAGGCAAAATGCCAAACCTGACACATTGCCCTGTACGATTGTCGACAATCGTAACCCCTTTCACAGCCACCTTTATGGCGGCCGGATGACCAACCGCCCCTGACGGTCATGGACCTCGTTTTCCCGACATCAAATTGCCATCTCAAAGAATCCAATCAAATTTAAAGAAAAAAAATTCATTTATGAATCTGAGAGGGGTGGGGGCGGCAGCGGCGATGGCACTGAAATTAGGTGGGAGCAACGACAGCAATTGTTGTCATGATATGGAATGTAGAAGCTAGTTGGCGGCCAAAACGAGATCGGCAGAAGAGGGACGATTTCCGCCATTTTTGGTTTTCGGGGCAGCTCTAAGAATGTTCCGTGATGTTTTTTTTAATTTAATTCACTCCTATTTTGAGTATATAAGTTAGGGACTCCTATTCTAGGAAATAATTTACTCCTATTTGGGGGTTTTCTTTTTTAAAGTTTCTTTCAACTTTTGTAGTTTCTTCCAAATTTAGAACTACAAGCGAAAAGAACATCTATACTATATTTAAAAAGAGAGGAATTTTTTCCCGCCCATATGTAGGAGTAATAAATGAAAATGTTGTGCGTTTACTCATTATATGTATGTGTATGCATTAAATTTAGTAAGCATTAATTAATACTCCATAACTAATGGTAAAGGGAATATGTTAAGATCGAGAAACTTTGTATGAGCATTAAAAATGGGGAATTTCATAGAAGTACTAACTAATACGTAGTAATTAATTAATAATTAATTGCAATGGAGAATTTCGTATAAGCATTAAAAATGTTTCCATTTTTATTTAAATACATCAATATGTTTTTTAATAACAACGAAACAGTAAGGTGGAAAGGGAAAGATGTTTCCATTTTTATTTAAATGCTATGCCAATTAATGGTAGGTGATAAATGGGAATTTGAATATGTTTCTATCTTTATTAAAAAAAATATTATGTTTCAATATGAGCATTAAAAATGTTTTTATTTTTATTTAAATACATTAATATGTTTTGTTTTTAATAACACCAAAAATAGTAATTCGAAAAAGTGAATATGTTTCCGTTTTTATTTAAATGCTACGCCAGTTAATGGTAAGTGTTACTATGAAAATTTGGATTCTATTAATTAATAAATTAATAAATAATGGTAAAGGGAAATACGTTTCCATTTTTATTAAAAAATACTGTTTTTGTATGAACATTAAAAAAGTTTCCATATTTATTTAAATACGGTAATATTTTTTAAATAATAACGAAAATAGAAGAGGGGAAAGAGGAATATGTTTATTAATTAGTGGTAAGTGTTGCTAGGCCAATGTTCGTTTCTATTAATTAATGATTAATGGTAAAGAGAAACATGTTTCCATTTTTATTAAAAAAATTGATTTCCTATAAGCATTAAAAATGTTTCCATTTTTTATTTATATACATTATTTTTTACATTAAAACTGAACTATTATATTTTGTCAAAAATAGCACTACCTTTTGGTTTGTTACTATATTACAACTAAACATTTTATTACCTGTCGAAAATGCCACTATCTTTCCTTTTAACCTGCTAGTGCAGGTTAAAAAAATAAAAAAAATAAATGGCACTAAACTATTTTTTGAAAGTATTATTTTTTTAAATTTCCATATATGAGAGAAAATTTTATTAATATATTACCCTTGTCCTAGTATATTCGTCCATTTTGACTTTTTGAGTTAAACTTGAAAAACTTTAGACCTCAATTACATAAAAACTATAATATATATTAGTAAAAAAATAATTTAATTAGCTAGATTTATCTTGTTTAAAACTTTCATAATTTTTTTTTATTTGTATTAAAATGGGATACAAATTGATAGTAATTGATTATTAAAATTTGCCCACTTTGATTTGAAAAGTCAAACATGATGAATAAACTGAGACGAAAAAAGTATAAAATTATTACTCTTATGTCTTTGAGCAATTAGCTAAAAATTTTCTTTTTAAATTTTATTTTGTCTCGAGTGTTTTCTTTTCTCCATAAAAATTTTCTTCACCTTTTTCAACAAATTTTTCTTCTTTCAATTCTTTCGACTCAATAAGAATGTGTTAACTAGCATTTTCACTTGTGGAATGCATGGGATATAACTTTTCTCCATTGTAATATAATTAAAGAATTGAAATGATACTTTTGCCTCCTTTATAGAGAATTCATTTGGTTTATTTTTTTTTGAAATCAACATCACGAATTTTGATTATCATATAAATAAAAAATGAATCATATATCTCTACACAAAATTTCTAAAATTTTATTTTATTCTGTTAATAAGTTATACAATTTTAATGTTCTTGATGTCTTAATGATTAAAATTTATCTATTTAGATTAAAAAAGTCCAACACGAAAAATATTTTGGGAACGTGAGAACACTATCAATCTAGTTTTTATGATTTGTTAGTCAATTTGTTATTTAAATATAAAAACAAAAACCAAATGAAAAAAAATATCATGCATAACAAATTTTGTTTTAAAAAATTGAGTTTTTAATATAATTATTGAAAAGAGGAAAGAGAAGGATAGCGGATAAAAAAGTTAAAAAAAAATTGATTGGTGGAATTTTTAAAATAAAAAGAAAAGAGTTACATTTTACTGTTGAGTTGTATTTGTTAATTTTCTTTTTGTTTTAACCTGTACTAATATGTTACTCCATCCGTCCTAAAATAATCTTTCCACTTCTTTTTTTTTCTCCAATCCTAAAACTATCTTCCCACTTTTAAAAAAGGGTAGCTAAATGACTTTAATACCCTCAAGTTCCACCGTTCTTCCTTTCTTCCCACTTCCATTTTTCTCCCTTTCTTGTTTTCTTGTCTTTCTCTCTATCTTCTCATTTTCCCTTTCTTTTTTTATTCTTTTCTCCCTTTCTTCCCTTTCTTCTCTTTCTCCGTTCTCCCTTCTCTCTATCTTTTCATTTTTGGATTTTCCCTTTCTTCTCTTTCTTCTTTCTCCGTTTCTTTTCTATCTTCTCCTCGCTTCTCCAGATGTTGCAATTCCATTGACGCAATAATTGGAGGGAGATCTGACGAAATGAATGGTGGATCTAGATGATGGGTTTTGTAGATTCAACAAAAGATTGAACAAGATTGAACGTGGATCTGAAGTGATGGTGCGGATGGGTTCGACGACAGATCCAAATCGAAATGGTGCAGATGGGTTCAGCGGATCTACATGATGATTTCTAAAGATCTGTATTTTTTTTAGTGAAAATTTATTCCTAGATCTGCTTGGCAATGAGTCCGAATGAGGCAGAGATGAGAAAAAGAGTGTTGCGGGACATTAGGATTAGGGGCATTTTTGGAAGGTCAAACTTTTTTTACACAACCTTAAAAATGAACTCCGGTCAAAGTGGGAAGGTCAATGTAGGACGGAGGGAGTACTGCGTAAGACGTTGGCATTTTTTACAGGTAATTAAAAGTTAAGTGGCAGTTTATTAACAAAAGGAAAGGTAATGACATTTTTGACAAAATATAATAGTTTTGTGGATAATGCTATTTATACTTCCAAGAATTTGTATCTCATTTTGTACACGGCAGGGATGCACCAACATTTTGTGTTGGCGTAATGCTAATTTTTATTAATGCACCAACACTTTGTGTCAGTGTAATTTTTTGTTAACGCACCAATGATTTGTGTCAGTGTGAACTATTAAAATGTTGGTGTATATTTGGTGTATAAATGTGGTACAAATTTTGGGTAAGATGCTCCAAAAATTTTGGTGACTCCTTTATGCATAAGAGTAATGCTAGAGTCACAAACAATCAGTTCACAAAATTCACAAACTTGCCTTTTTAACACTCTCTTAAAAATAAGATGCACTCAAATAATTAAAGATATTTTGATTTAAAATCCACAAAAGGCAAATTTGTGAAGTTTGTGAATCATATATTTGTGACTCTAGCATTCTCCTTCTCCTTCTGTGCAATGGAGAACTCAACGATGTGCGTGCACAAATTAAAAGCTAGCCGTCAAAGGATGAACATTTGCCAAATCCCCATACAAATTTAGAGCTCCAAGGTACAGAAGAAGGGGAGACCTCTCGTCTTCTTGTCCAATTCTTGCGCTCACACTCCGGCGGGGAAGCTATAAAGCGCCACTGATGAGAAGAAGAACATGCGAAGCTCTCCCTTTTCCACTCCCAGTCAATATTACAATTCCACCGGAGAGGAGACAGAAGAGGAGAGGCGCCGGAGAAAATGTCCGAAAACGGAGGACCAACTGAAAAAGAAGTAGAAGATGGACCGGCGGTAGGGATCGATCTCGGAACCACTTACTCCTGTGTCGGAGTCTGGCAGCCACAGCACGACCGGGTTGAGATCATCACCAACGATTTAGGCAACCGTACGACGCCGTCTTGGGTTGCCTTCACCGATGGTGAACGACTCGTCGGCGAATCTGCACAGAATAAGGCCGCGTTTAATCCCTCCAATACCATCTTCGGTATTTGCCTCTTCTCCTCTCTCAATTTTCTGTTTTTCTTTTGGCTTTAATTTTTAATATCTAAATTCATACTCTCTATTTGATGCATTTCCTTTTTTTTTCTCTGTTATTTTTGAACTTCAATGTTAATATTAAGAATGCTAATGTGGTAAAGATGGTAACTATTTTAACTAGAAAGTAATTACTTGGGTAGATACTTGAATTTTGAGCTAGAAATATATATATGTGTGCCTTTATAGGTTCAAAATTTTGCCATACATTGGAGTTCCCTTTAATGTAAATAAAATCAAATACAGAGTTTTCATTCGCAAGAGTATTGTGCAATGTAGATGGTAACTTATACTTACTACATTTTTGTGAGCTTATGCGAACTACAGATGTGAAAAGGCTGATTGGCAGAAAGTTTGGTGATATAATGGTACAAAAGGATATGAAGCTGTGGCCATTTAAAGTCACAGCTGGCCCTGAGTATGGGAATGCTGAGAAACCAATGATAGCTGTGACTTACAAGGGTGAATAGAAGACATTTGCTGCTGAAGAGATATCTTCAATGATCCTCCAAAAGATGAAGACTACGGCAGAGGATTTTCTAGGAAAGCAAGTCAAGAATGCTGTTATCACTGTTCCTGCCTACTTCAATGATGCACAGCGTCGGGCTACGAAAGATGCTGGTGTCATTGCTGGGCTTAATGTCTTGCGTATCATCAATGAGCCCACAGCCGCTGCAATTGCATATGGTATTGATAAGAAAGGATCTGGAAGTGGTGATTTTGCCTCAAAGAACGTTCTGGTTTTTGACCTTGGTGGTGGGACATCTGATGTATCTATTGTTGCAATGGAGAAGGATGCATTTGAGGTCAAAGCAGTAAATGGTGACACCCATTTAGGTGGAGGGGATTTCAATAACAGAATGGTGAGCCACTTTGTTGCTGAGTTTGAGAGGAAACATAAGAAAGACATTAGTTCAAATCCAATGGCCCTAGGGCGGTTAAGAGCTGCTTGCGAAAAAGCCAAGAGAAACCTCTCTTCGGTTACTGATACGTCTGTAGACATTGATTGTCTCTATGAGGGCATTGATTTCTCTTCGACCATCACCCGTGCACGGTTTGATCAAATGAACTTGGATCTGTTTAATGCTTGTTTGGACCTAGTTGAGAAGTGCTTAAAAGATGCCAAAATGGGGAAGGTTGACATTCATGATATTGTTCTGGTTGGTGGGTCTACCCGAATCTCAAAGGTTCAGTATTTGTTGCAAGACCTCTTCCCTGGAAAGAAGCTTTGCAAAAGTATAAACCCGGATGAAGCTGTTGCATGTGGAGCAGCTTTTCATGCTGCATCCCTGACTGGTGCTTGTATGGGGGTGAATAAGGATGTTGTGCTTGTGGATGTCGCTCCTTTATCTCTTGGTGTTGCAGTGTTTAGCGGTGCATTGTCGGTTGTGATTCCAAGGAATACCCCCATCCCTACAAAGATCACTAAGAGGAACTACACAACTGTTTTGGACAACCAAACCAGTATTTGTGAAGAGGTGTACGAGGGGGAAATGCCAACAGCAATAGACAACCATTTCCTGGGATCATTTAACCTTTATGGCATACCTCCATCACCCAAAGGTGTTCCTAAGGTTGATGTCACTTTTGAGATCGATGATAATGGGATCTTGACTGTGTCTGCAGAACTAGTGGGCAGTGACAAAAGGAACCAGATCACTATAACCAATCACCGTGGCAGGTTGTCAAAGGATGAGATTGATCGGATGCTGAAGGAGGCTAAGGAGTACAAGGCTCAAGATGCGGAGCGCAAAAAGGCATCCCAGGCTAGAAATGCTTTGGAGAATTACATTCACCAGTGAAGGGGCATATTTAGAGTTTTGGTAGAGCGGTTTGGGCTGAAGAAAATGAAAACTTTAAAAGATGCAGTTGAGAACACTGCTAAATGGTTAGAGTGGAATTTCCCGCTTGGTGATGCTCACATGTTTGAGGAAAAACGGAAAGAGCTTGAGCTCATATGTGACTCTGCGCTTACCAAGGCGCAACCTCAGCCAGCAAGACGTGTAACACGTGTAACACGCGTAACACGCAGATCTCGAGCTCTACATAAATGAGATGCATGACAAGGAGAGGTTGGGTTTTGCCATTTTTTGTTTCCCAGATTATGGGGAGTTTCTAACATTTTGGTACGGTAGTATGGTATTGCTTTAGTAGGAATGTAGGATGAATCGTCAAGCTTGGTTGGTTTTACAATTGTCTTTTGTTTGCCGCTCTGATGCATGTCACAAGGCTTTGTTTTTTGTGGTTCACATTTGTGTTTGTGCTTTAGAAAATCCAAGTCTGTTTTCCTCCCTGATGTTAGATAGCCCCTGCCCCATTTTTTCTTTATAATTTTGTACTGGCTACTGCTTGTTTGTCATGAATGGCTCTGCCATATTTATGATTTCTACCCATTTATGCGGTCCTTTTCTCGCTATGCATTGAGTTGGGAATTTGTTTGTTTTTCACCCTTATATTACGTCATCCTTATATTTTGCGAAGTGCCAATTTTTTTTGCTACTGTAATAGGTAGTTTGTTTTTGAGAAAAGTAGGCTCTCCTTTACAAATTCTTGTTTTTTTAAATAATCTTTGTTTAAAATGATTGTTTAAAGAGAGTGATAAAATCGTACAAAAATATGTTTATATCTATAAGTCAAGGGGCGGATGCTGAGGAAGCATGCTGAAATTGGAGGGGCTGAAATTTAGACAAAATGCTAGAGGGACAAACCCAAGAGTCACACAAAACTCAACAAGACTTTGTCAAATGCTCAAGATTTGGAAATTTCCGACTCCACCAATTCACATAGGCCTTGTTTGGAACATGGCAGTTGGCTGTTGGCTGTTTATGTTAGTTGGTTTGGATGACTGATTAAGTTAGCTGTTTTGATCGGCTGTTTCTGTTAGCTGTTTAAAATTAGATGTTTGGCAACTTTAGCTGTTTATAGTTAGCTGTTTGTGAGTAAAATTACATCTAAGGACATCCCTCCATTTATGTTAATTTGTGTATGATTTTAAATTTTTTTAATTTGATAAAATACACACATTATACAAGAAAATTCTTTACATATATTTTTTTTGTTGGACAAAAAAGGCTACTTCTTTTTTTTTTTAATTTAAAAAATGAGAATTTATAGTTATATTTTATAAGTAGATTTTTTGTAATTTTCTCATTCATCATTCTACAAATAACAACCATGCATGATATATTTTATTTTATAATTTTTTAAATATGATATCATATATTTTTAATATACTCTACACCAATTTTAATTTTTTAAATATGATATCATATATTTTTTTTGTTGGACAAAAAAAGGCTACTTCGTTTTTTTAAATTTAATAAATGAGAATTTACATTTATATTTTATAAGTAGATGTTTTTTGTATTTTTCTCATTTATCATTCTACAAATAACAACCATGCATGATATATTTTATTTTATAATTTTTTAAATATGATATCATAAATGTATAAAAATACTCTACACCAATTTTAAATATGATATCATATATTTTTAATATACTCTACACCAATTATAATTTTTTAAATATGATATCATATATTTTTAATATACTCTACACCAATTATAATTTTTTAAATATGATATCATATATTTTTTTTGTTGGACAAAAAAGGCTACTTCGTTTTTTTTAATTTAAGAAATGAGATTCTACATTTATATTTTATAAGTAGATTTTTTTTGTATTTTTCTCATTTATCATTCTACAAATAAAAACCACGCATGATATATTTTATTTTATAATTTTTTAAATATCATATCATAAATATATAAAAATACTCTACACCAATTCCAGTGCCGTGAGGATCGTAGAGAGGCGCAACACCGAGAAAAGGGTAAGAAACGGAAAAGGGGGTGAACTGCTAAGTGAAATGCTGCTAGGGTTAGCATTTCAATTTTTGGCGGTTCGGTTCTAAATGCCAATTCCAAAAGCCATTATCCAAACAAATAATTTGGCGGTTTGACTAGTCCAATCCACTGTTTATGATCAAAGATGTCAAATGTTAGGTGAACCGCCATTTACCAAATATGGCCATAGTGTTACAATTTCAAAACTACTATAACAACCTAAATAAATAGATTATACGTAAATTGTTATGTTAATACAAAATCTACTACGGGGTAAGTTTTAATTGGAGAATATCCATAAATCATTCAATACAGTATGTGTACATATTGCATTGAAAACACCTTCATTATTTTCATTGTTGTTGTCGGTTATGTCACCGTCACTTGAACGAATTCCCCTACTTGACTTATGGAAGTCGGAATTGGCAAAGTGGTCGGAATTGGACATCGTCCATTGCACTGTCTTGAGTAAATCTAAATTCTGTGAGATTTTCCTTTGGAATGTAGTGAGCAATTTCTATTTTTCAAAAAAAAAACAATTAATTCCATTTTATAATAAGATAATGAAATAATGATTTTTTAAAATTACGACTCAAAATTTTGCAAAATGCATGTCTAGAAAAAAAATCATGGGAAATTAACATTTTATGATGAGTAGTAAAAATTTACTTGTATATTGATTTTATTTTGTTCGAAAAAACATGAACTTTAAAATAATTATACTTAGGCAAAACTAGTGGAATATCCATACACTTGAATATTATATGTTTTGGATCTCGAAACTAGTGGATGTCACTTTCGAATTTTTTAATTTATAATATCGTTGAACGAGTATATAATCTGTACCTCCTAACTCATTCAACATCATCTACTCAAATTTTGATTTGATCTAAATAAATGCAATTAAATAAAATGCTGATGACATTAATCCCTTCCCTCCCTCCAACCCAACACAACATAAAAATTATCAACACACCTTCATTTTAAATTTTGGTAGGAATGTATGTGGAATGTTGGAGTGAAACTTAATGTACATGAGGTTATAATTTTTGTCATTTTAGCTCTCCCTACACAAATTATTACTCGTATCTTTGCAACTTATGAATACAAGTCTAATTTAACAAAAAAAAATGTTTTTTAAATAACGTAATTTTTATGTTACGGAGTAAATTTCAAATTTAACTTCTTATTTCTTTTTTCCGTTTTTAGGCTTTGTTTGAAAATAGCATTTTCGATTACCGTTAGTTTTTAGATAAATTTAATAGTCTAAATTAATTCTATAAAAATTATTGCTAAAAACTATCGTTAGATAATCTTTTCAAAATATTGACACTAAACTCTAAAACTATTGCTAAACGAGACTTTAATAAAAAACAGAGTATAACTGAAGGATTGAAATTTATGTCGACAAAAAATACACCTTGCGTCCAGAATTATCTTCTTGTTTGTTTGGTCAAAGGCTTATAATTTTGACCATAAAATATGGAAAGATATATTGATTTATGACATAAATTTAGTATCAACATATTCATTACCAAACAAAGTTTTAAAATATCATATTTTTATAATATAAAATTATACATGAATAAAATATTAATTATCAAAATAGTACATTGAAAGCTGTATAAAAACAAAGAAGAAGATAATTCTGAGACGGAGGGAGTAAATAAACTACTTATCGAAAAAAGAAGTTAGAAATTTATTTTAGAATAAATAAAAAGAGTAATGCTGGAGTCACAAATAAAACATTTACAAATTAGAGCACTGGAAATACCTTGGAAGCCCCAGGGCTTCAAACCGGGGCTTCAAAATTTCTCTCTCTGCCACGTCAGCTTTAACTTACTTCACAATTTCACTGAAAATGAGTATGAAGCCCCGGGGCTTCACACTGTGGCTTCAAACCTTAATTTTTTAAATTTTTTATTACATATTTTATAAAATTAAATTAATAAAAATTCATTACTTAATTAAATTTAAACGATAATAATTCATTAAATGAAAAATAATTACCTTCAATAAAAAAGAACATTTAATTTAAAAAAATTACATCAATTAAAAACTTAAAACAAATTATATTTAGTCTTGATCTCGTTATGTCTTCTCTCGAAAGCAAATTATATTCACTTGGTCGTTTGACTTGAGACCGGACAAAGGAAAATTAAATCTGATGAAGAGATTCATGCTAAAAAAGATGAAAAAAATTAAATATTTTTTTTTAAATTTGAAGAAGATAGAGGAAAAGATTTTGTGGGTGTTTAGTTTTTTTTTAATTGAAGAAAAAAGATTTTGTTTGTGAGTTTTATTTTTTAAAAAATAAGTTAATTTATAGAAGATTTTTTTTTAATTTTTGTAACGGCTTGTAACCGTTTGAAGGAAAAAATTCAGGGCAAAACGCCCGTTATACGTTTGACGCAATGCTAATAACGCCTGAATGAAGCCCCATGGGGGCAGTGTTTCATGCCCCTAGGGCGTTAAAAGAGGGATGGCGGAGGAGCAGGGCGTGAGTACTAGGGGTGTAAACAAACCGAATCGAAGCGAATACCGATATATTTGAATTTGTATTTGTTTAATTTTTTCGAATACGAATCCGAATTTGAATATGAGACGAATTCAAAATAAGATTTGAATAAGTATTTGATTAATATTCGAATAGTTATCGAATCATAAACGAATATTTGAATAATCATACTATGTAATTTATATGATGGACCAACATCAATTTGTAATTTAACTTACGATACTCTTTATACTATACTATATTCGGTATATAAAAACATTAATACATCTGCATCTTACACAAATTATATTTTATAAAATATAACTATTAAAAATCATATGCTTTAGATTTTCGTGTTACGTTAATTTATTGAATTCTTAGTATTTTAAATACACTTTATACTATATTACTTTGCTTGACTTTTGATGTTGAAAACATGGTCTGTGTATATATACACATATTCGAATATTCGAATATCATCCGAATCGAATATATCCTTATTTGTATTTGTATTTGATTAATATTCGAATCAAAAATAATATTTGAATTTGAATTTGTATTTGAATAACGCGAATTCGAATCATCATATTCGAATACAAATCGCGAATCGAATTTAAAATATTTGATTTGTTTACCTCCCTAGTGAGTACCATTTCCAGTGCCCTTACACAACCTTGTTGAATATGTAAAGTACTCCGTAATAAGTTTATGATTTTGTGATTGTTTTATTACTCAAGCATTACCCAAATAAAAGAGGAACATGAGCGAATAGTTTAGGAAGAGATGGAGTAATTTTTACTCCTTATTTTTTAAGACAAAAATGGTAGGGGTACTCGGGAGTCATCAGTACTCCGTAAATTTTTCCCGCCGAAGAAGAGTTGGGCCAATTCTAACCAGAGAGATGATGGAATTCTATACTTACAGGGATACCCTCCTTTTCCTCTATAAAACCTCCCGGATAAAATAAGAAGGAGAAGAAGAAGAAGAAAGAAGAAGAAGAAGAAGAATAGAACAGGCAGCTGCTCTCTAGGAGTATGGCGGAGAGCGGAGCTGAAGGGCCGGCGATAGGGATCGATCTAGGAACCACTTACTCTGTTGTCGGAGTTTGGCAGCCGCGTCAGGGCCGGGTTGAGATCATCACCAACGATTTGGGCAACCGCACGACGCCGTCTTGGGTTGCCTTCAAAGATGGCGAACGTCTCGTGGGCGAATCTGCACAGAACCAGGCCGCCTTTAACCCCTCCAACACCATCTTCGGTATCTGCCTCGTCTCCCCCAGCTATTTGATGAAATTCACTTTATTTGTTTATTGATTTTCACTGTTATCTCTGAACTTCAAATTACTTTTTGGAATGCCAATTTGGTAAAGATGATAGCTAGAAAATCAGTTAAAGATGATGCCAATCAGTTTTCTCTATACTGATTAAAATATTATCATTCCCTTGCTTTAAAGTACCTTTTCATATGGAGTGTAAATAAAACCCAATGAAACATAGTTTTTGATTCTCAAGAGTATTGTGGTATATATGTACACCTCAACTTATATGGAGTACATATTTGTTGTTGTTGTTGTCGTTAATTGCTTATACGATTTCCAGATGTGAAGAGGCTGATAGGAAGAAAATTTAGTGATGAGATGGTACAAAACGATATCAAGTTGTGGCCATTTAAAGTCACAGCTGGCCCTGAGTATGGGAATGCCGAAAAACCAATGATAGCTGTCACTTACAAGGGTGAAGAGAAGACATTTGCTGCTGAGGAGATATCTTCAATGATCCTCCAAAAGATGAAGTGCACTGCAGAGGCATATCTAGGCAAGCAAGTCAAGAATGCTGTTATCACAGTTCCTGCCTACTTCAATGATGCACAACGTCAAGCTACAAAAGATGCCGCTTTCATTGCTGGGCTTAATGTCTTGCGAATCATCAATGAGCCCACAGCTGCTGCGATTGCCTATGGTCTAGACAAGAATGGACCTGGAAGTGGTGATCCTGCTTCAAAGAACATACTGGTTTTTGATCTTGGTGGTGGGACTTTTGATGTCTCTATTGCCACGATAGAGAAGGGCCTGTTTGAAGTCAAAGCAGTTAATGGGGACACCCACCTTGGCGGGGGAGATTTCAATAACAAAATGGTCAGCCACTTTGTTGCCGAGTTTGAGAGGAAACATAAGAAAGACATTAGCTCAAATCCTAGGGCTTTAGGGCGTTTAAGAGCAGCTTGTGAAAAAGCCAAGAGAAACCTCTCTTCAGTCACTACTACATCTATAGACATTGATTGTCTCTATGAGGGCATCGATTTCTCCTCGACCATCACCCGAGCACGGTTTGATCAAATGAACTTGGATCTGTTTAATGCTTGTTTGGACCGAGTTGAAAAGTGTTTGAAGGATGCCAAAATGAAGGTAACTGACATTCATGATATTGTTCTGGTTGGTGGGTCTACCCGAATCCCAAAGGCTCAAGATTTGTTGCAAGAGCTCTTCCATGGAAATAAGCTTTGCAAAAGTATAAACCCAGATGAGGCTGTTGCCCACGGAGCAGCTTTTCATGCTGTGTCCCTCACTGGTGCCTGCTTGGGTGGGAATAAGAACAGTGTGCTTGTGGATGTTGCTCCTTTATCTCTTGGGGTTGAGTCGTCCAACGGTGATTTGAATGTGGTGATTCCGAGGAATACCCCCATCCCTACAAAGAAGACAAACAAGCGTATAACTGCCGAGGACAACCAAACAAGGGTTACGTTCCAAGTGTTTGAAGGGGAAATGCCAATAGCAGAAGACAACTATTTCCTGGGCAAATTTTCCCTCCACAACATTCCTCCAGCACCCGTTGGTGTTGCCAAGTTTGATGTTGATTTTGAAATTGATGTGAATGGCATCTTGACTGTGTCTGCAGTTCTAGTAGGTAGTAACAATAGGGACCAAATCACTATAACCAATCACAGCTTGAGGCTTTCAAGGGAGGAGATTGATCGGATGGTGAAAGATGCCGAGGAGTACAAGGCTCAAGACGAGGAGCGCAAGAGAGCATCCGAGGCTAAAAATGATTTGGAGAACTACATTCACTACTCAAGAGGCATTTTGTCGAAGATGGGTGGGAAGAAGAAAATGGAAACTTTTAAGGATGCAATTGAGAGAACTGCTCAATGGTTAGAGTGGAATTGCGAGCTTGGTGAGGCTCACAAGTTTGAGGAAAAGAAGAAAGAGCTTGAGCTCTTATGTGACTCTCTGGTTGCAAAGATGCGGGGTATCAGCCTCGGCAAGTAGGAGAAGCTGGGCCGGTTATGTTTAGTGATGCTAAGTAGGAGAAGCTAGGTCACGACCTACTCACATTTTCATGGGCTTTCATGTGGATATTTTCTAGTTTGAAAAAGGCTCATTTCTTTTAGGCTACAAATACACGAAGGTCCATATTTGTCGTTTAGTTACCCAGATTATGGAACTTTTTATAACATTTTGGCACGGCAGTAGGATGAATCTTGAAACTAGGCTTGTTCTGCAAAATTTTGTCTTTTGTTTATTGGTGTCACAACAAGGGTTTGTCTTTTGTGTTTTGTGCTCCACACTTCTTTGTTTGTGTGTGCTTTTAGGGTAGCTTCTGATCCCATTTTTTTCTTTAAAATTTCCTGCTGGTTCACCTTCCCGGCCTCTCTTCCTAAGCTGATTTATCATCAATCACTCTGCCTTTTTTTTTTAAAAGTCTACCAATTTATGCGGCCTTTGACTTTTCTTGTCAAAGATAGTGATAAATTAAAGCTACAATGTTTAAATGATTGTTTAAAAGATAATGATAAAGTCTTATTGAAAAAAAACATGTTTATTAGAATTATAATCCCTATTGTCTTGATTTCCAAGGAAATGATTTTAAGATCATGTGTGGTCATAGAGTCCTGTGAGGAGCATTATCCTCCATGAGGCAGCTACCTCCATGTGAGTTTTGTGACCATTTTGTTTGTGAATTTAGCATTTCTCAAAAATAAGCACCCTTCATTCTTACACTCATTATCATTTTTAATTAAATAAAAAAATTAAAAAGAATATGATTGGTTGAAGAAAAATGAATGGAGCGTTATGTTAATGACGCTTGCAATTCTATTTGGGATCATAGCGCCAAGGGGGGTGGGTTTTGGGGCGCCATATAGGCGTTGTCTATGGGCAAAATGCCCACAATGCTCTAAAGTTTATGGGGGGCATCTCGGACTAGGGGTAATGAAAATAAACCTTTTTCTATTTTTACTAAATTTTTTATCATTAAATATGATAAAATTATGCAGTAAAAAAGAAGTACTCCATCCGTCCCTAAATATTTGCCACACTTGTATTCCCGAGGCAAAATATCAAGTTTTTTCAATTCATTTTATTTACATATTGACATAAAAAAAATTTTACATATCAAAAAACTACTCTCTCCGTTCCGGATTATTCGTCCAGTTTTGACTTTTGGAACTGTTCATCTAAGCACTTTGACTCATCAAATTCTCTCAATGTGTAAGCCTAAATATAGTCACGTGTGATCTTGTTTGATTTGGATATAGTCACTTCTATAATTTTTTAATATACAAATTACAAGATAAAATGGATTAAAGAAGTGTATTGGATGGTGTGTAAAAATGAAAAAAACGGAGGTAGTATATGAGTGTCAGGTTCAAAGGAAAGGGATGGTGGTTTCTAGTCTTTTTTTGAAGTAGCAAAATTTTATTTAATTGTTTTTTGAATACCCAATCTCTTTGCGAATGGGGTGTCAGGTTCAAAGGGATGGCGGTTTCTAGTCTTCTAGACCTCTCGTCTTCCCCCCTGAACTTTTGAGTGGAAAAAATGCTTCTGGGGATTGGGGAAATTAAAGTTTTAGCGGCACAGTACAAGAAATGGGCAAGTAAGGCTGACTCTTCTTCTCCCTTCCCATCTTTACTTCTTCTCCTTCTTCATTCCACAGCCCCAGAAGCTTATTGAAAATGGGCGATAACCAAACAAGAGCACCCGAAGATGAAGAAGAAGAACAAGAAGAGGAAGAAGAAGAAGAAAAATGCCCGGCGATCGGAATCGATCTGGGAACAACTTATTCTTGCGTCGGAGTTTGGGAGCCGTGCCAAGAACGGGTTGAGATCATCACCAACGATTTAGGCAACCGCACGACGCCGTCTTGGGTTGCCTTCAAAGACGGTGAACGGCTCATCGGAGAATCTGCACAGAACCAGGCAGCAAGCAATCCATCCAATACCATTTTCGGTGCCTGCCTTTTCTCCCCTCCCCACTTTCCTTTTTTTTGTTGCCTTTAATTTTTAAATTCATATTTCTTACATTTCTATTTCAAACTCTACCGCCAAAGCATTACACATTCAAAATCCTGCCTTTTTCATCTACTATCTGTGGATTATTTAACTTAAAGATCATTTTTTTTAAATTCTTGTAGAATTTTGGACGATACCTGTCATGCAATTTATGATAACAAACAAAGTTGGCAATAGGATAACGTGTACCTGAAGACGCCGACTGGGAAGGCAATGAGCACAATGGAGCGGGAGTTTGAACAGATTTGACGATGTAATCACTAAGATGGGATGGCTGACGACGCTGCCGTTGAGGACGAAGCGGAGGGGCGACAGCTGTATGGGGGTGGGACTGGGCGTCGGTGGGCTGCTCGATGGCAGCTGTCGGCTGGACAGGCTGGCCGTCAGCGACGGTAGCCGGAAGTGGGGCGGGCAGGGGTAATTCGGGAAAGTCGGATTGTGGGGTGGAGGTAGAGGGTTCGGCCGGCGTGTGATGTATGGCAAACGGGAACGTGCTCTCGTCAAAAGCAATGTCCTGAGTGTGAAAGAAGCGATGAGTATCAAGGTCATACACACGCCAACCTTTTGTGCCGGAGGGGTACCCAACAAACATGCACTTGGTGCTTCGAGGAAAAAATTTGTTGGAAGTCCTGAGTCGTATAAAACATAGACATCCAAAAATTCGAAGATGACTAAGATCTGGTGCTTTGTGATTTAGAACTTCAAATGGAGACTTACCACCAAGTAGTTTGTTGGGAGTACGATTAATTAAATAAACATCAGTACGAACACATTCCCCCCAGAATTCAATAGGCAATTGAGCTTGAAACATAAGGGAGCGGGCGACATTTAATATGTGTCTATGTTTTCGTTCTACCCGACCGTTTTGTTGTGGAGTACCTACACAAGAAGTTTGAACAAGAACACCCAAAGTGGCATAATATGACCGAAGGTCCTGATTGACAAATTCGGTGCCATTATCAGAACGAACAATTTTTATGGTTTTATGAAATTGGGTCTGTATCATGGAAAAAAATTGTTTCAAACAACTAGGTACTTCAGATTTATCAATGATCAAATAAGCCCAAACTGCACGAGAGTGGTCATCGACAATAGTGAGAAAATAATGTGCACCAGTAGCTAAACAAGGGGTGTAGGGACCCCATAAATCACAATGAATTAGATCAAAAACACTTGTAGCTTTATTGGAACTAATAGGAAAAGAGCTACGAACTTGTTTGGATTGGAAACAAATTTCACATGATTGTAATAATTTAAGTTTAGAGCTACTGGCAGAAGGAATAAGAGACGACAAAACTTGAACAGATGGATGCCCCAAGCGTTTATGAAGGAGAGAAGGATCCATTTGGGTAGAAAATGCTATAGAACATGGACGAAACAGGAAAACTCCATTGTGTGCATCACCCCGTCCAATCTCCATCTTCGTGACACAATCCTGTATGACACAACAGTTTTTGTTAAAAATAACAAGACAAGAGGTATCTCGAATAAGACAACCAACAGAAATAAGATTGCACTGCAGATGAGGAACAAGCAAAACGCCCCGAAGCACTACTTCGGGTGAGAGCCGCACACGGCCACATCGAGTGGCTGTAGTCTGTGTGCCATTGGGCAACGTAATGACACAGGGGGCCATGGGAACCACATCAGTTAAAAGGGAGATATTACCAGTCATGTGATGAGAGACGCCACTGTCAATAAGCCACTCACGAGCCGATGCCTCACCATTAGACCCAGTTTCCTTGTCGGAAGAAGGGACGTCGAGCATGGAAAGTAACCGGGTCATCTGATCAGGTGTGAGGCCTAGGGCGTTGGAATTGGTGGCTGCATTTGCTCCCCCTGTCGCCGATCCTATCCCTCGGCCAGACCCACGGCCAGGGGCGCTACTGCCGCCGGACGGCGTTCTGCCACCGCCGCGACCCCCTCGGCCGGATGCAGTGCCGCGACCTCCACGGCCCTTCCCGGGCGGATACCCATGCAATTGATAACACCGATCCACGGAATGGCCATCTTTTCCACAATGTGTGCACAAATAATGGGGGGGGGTCTCCACGACCCAAGGTAGGAGCGGGACGCTGCATGGCAAAGGCGAGAGCGTCCGTACGGTCATCTCGGCCACGGACAATGCTCTTGTGGCGTTCCTCTTGAACGATGAGTGCATAAGCTCGGTGTATGTCCGGAACAGGTTCGGTGGCAATAATCTGAGATCGGATGTGACCGAACTGTTCGTCGTCGAGCCTGAGCAAAAAATGATGAGTCTTCTCCTGTTCCTCGCGCGCCCGAATCAGAGCCGCAGCCTCACACCGACAACCACACGTTGGATCAACAGATCCATATAGCTTATTCCACAAAGTCACAAATTGGTTATAATAAACAACCACAGTTTGTCCCTTTTGACGGAAAGATTGAAACTCAGATTTCAATTGGTGAATACGAGGTCCATTCGAACCTCCATATCTGGTCTTCAGATCTAACCATAATTCATGAGCAATTTTATGAGAGATAATGGAAGGTTGGATGTGTTCATCAACACTGTTACAGATCCAAGAACAAATTATGGAATTATTAGCTTTCCATGCCGCCAATTCCTGTTCATCAGTGGGTTTAGGAAACCCGGAAGGATTGAGAAAACCTGCCCTGCTACGCCCTTCTAGAGCATTAATAATGGTTTTCTCCCAAATATCATAATTATCACCTTTAAGAAGATGCTTCGTCAAGGAATTACCCGCACTTTCGGACGGGTGGATGTAGTACGGAGAGGTAGGGTCGTGGATGAGCCTGACCTTCTTTGTTCCTTCGCTTGCCATGGAAACGAAGATAGTACCGGCGTGAGTCGGTGATTATGAGTCCGACGTGAGCCGGCGCTGCAGCGGTGGTGATCGACGTGAGCCGATCAAAGAGGGGCGACCGTGGTGTGCGGCTGGCGAAGCAACGGTGGCGGCACCGTGCGTGAGAAAAAAAGAGCCTAGGGTTTGAGAAGTTCCCGGGAAATTGGCTCTGATACCATGTAGAATTTTGGAAAAACTGAACTGCCTTTGATTCAATATTCACAACGTATATATACATGTGTCAAGTCCTACTACAAGTATGGTAGGGACTCCTTACAAGGAAACTAATTACAAAGGAAATAATTACATATATGGTAGTAAATAAATATATATGCTAACAATTCTGTTATTTTTTTCTCTCATTATCTTGATTTGTGGGATAATGTTAAGTGGGCTTAATACACATTCTTGTTTGGTTTTATATGAAGGTCAGATGTGAAGAGGCTGATAGGTAGAAGATTCAGTGACATAGTGGTACAAAAGGACATGAAACTCTGGCCGTTTAAAGTCACAGCTGGCCCGGAGTATGGGAATGCCGAAAAACCTATGATAGTTGTCACTTACCAGGGTGAAGAGAAGACATTTGCTGCAGAAGAAATATCTTCAATGATCCTCCAAAAGATGAAGAGTGTTGCGGAGGCGTATATAGGGAAAGAAGTCAAGGATGCTGTAATCACTGTTCCTGCCTACTTCAATGATGCGCAGCGTCAAGGTACAAAAGATGCCGGTGTCATTGCTGGGCTTAATGTCTTGCGCATCATCAATGAGCCCACAGCTGCTGCCATTGCTTATGGCCTTAACAAGAAAAGAAGTGGAAGGGGTGCTTCTGCCGCTGCTAAGAACATCCTGGTTTTTGATCTTGGGGGTGGGACTTTTGATGTCTCAATTGTGACAATGGAGAAGGATGTGTTTAAAGTCAAAGCAGTTAATGGGGACACCCATCTTGGAGGAGGAGATTTCAATAACAGGATGGTTAGCCACTTTGTAGCCGAGTTTGAGAGGAAACACAATAAAGACTTGAGTGGAAATGCTAGGGCCATAGGACGACTCAGAGCAGCATGTGAGAGGGCAAAAAGAAACCTCTCTTCCCTTACCGAAACATCTATTGACATTGAGTGTTTATTCGATGGCATTGATTTCACTTCGAGCATCACCCGTGCTAAGTTTGAAAAAATGAATTTGGATCTGTTCAAAGATTGCATGGAACTAGTTGAAAAGTGTGTGATGGATGCCAAACTGGAGAAGGGTGACATTCATGGTATAGTTCTGGTTGGTGGGTCCACCCGGATCCCAAAGGTTCAAGATGTATTGTAAGAGCTTTTCCATGGAAAGCAACTCCGCAAGAGTATAAACCCAGATGAGGCCGTTGCCCATGGAGCCGCGTTCCATGCTGCATCCCTAACCGGTTCCTTCTTGGGTGGGAATAGGGATTTTGTGCTTGTGGATGTTGCTCCTTTATCCCTCGGTGTCGAGCAATTTGGTGGCGCAATGTCTCTTTTCATTCCAAGAAACACCCCCATCCCCACAAAGTTTACAAAGTTCAACTGCACAACTCCTCATGACAACCAAACCAGTGCCCGGTTCCCAATCTACGAGGGTGAGTCTCCAATGGCAAAAGACAACAACTTTCTAGAAGAGTTCATCCTTGATGACATTCCTCCAGCTCTCAGAGGCTCTGCCAAGGTTGATGTCAGCTTGGAGATCGACGACAATGGCATCTTGATTGTGTCTGCAGAAGCGGCGGGGAGCAACATCAAGAAACAGATCAAGATAACCAATCACAGCGCGAGGTTCTCAAAGGGGGAGATGGATCGGATGGTGAAGGAGGCAGAGGAGCACAAGGCTCAAGATGAGGAGCGCAAGAAGGCATCCACGGCTAAGAATGCACTGGAGAATTACATTCATGACATCAATGACGCTTTGAGTGTGTGTGGGAATAGGGTTGGGATGAAGGAGAGGATAAGCTTGAGAGATGCGGTTGATAAGACGGTTCGTTGGTTGGAGTGGAACCATCTTCTTGTCGATGCTCTCAAGTTTGAGGAGAAGCTGAAGGAGGTGGAGGCCATATGTGAGCCTGTTCTTGCTAAGATGATGCAGCCTGGGCATGGGAGGGATGTCTTTGTCAAGCCTGAAATGGTTGAGATAGAGGACTAGCCTAGCCTGAGAATTTGTAACCTTTGTTATTTTGTTTTTGTTTTGTGAGTTCTGTAGTCACAAATCATCATCTTTTTGGATCTAACTGAGTTGATAATCTTCTCTTTTTGGGGACTGGACATACTCTCTAGTTTGGATTATAATCAATGAAGGTCATGGAAAGTTTCTTAGAATGATTAAATTTGGACATATATCTAAAACAAAACCAAATCTTAATATGGAACTCTCTAGTTTGGTTTATCTCAAAGCACTCACACTTTCTGTTAAAAAACCACATTTACCGCTACGTTTTCCTACTTTTTTTACTACATCATATTTTTTCACTAATAATCTATTTATCGCATCAAGAACAAAATTGAAAAGTCAACCATAAGTATATACTCTTTATTTCTCATAAAAATCAAAATAAGAACTGTTTTATGAAAAGGATGGAGTATAATACAAAAATAGTCAAACAATTTCAAAAAATGATCAATATCACATTATCTCCTCATTAGTTAATAGGCTAAGCTTATTCTCGTATTTCACAATTGAGATGTAGTTGTGTGAAAAAGAATATAGTAATGAAGACTAATTTAGTTGAAGCATAAAATAGATTGTAGGGAAGATGACGAAATAGTTTTGACTAGTAGGAGAATTTTTTTTCTGAAATAAGAATATTAATTTAATATTTCAATAATTAGTTCATATATACATTAGAATAAATATTTAATCCATATATACATTAAAAAATAATTAAATTTAGATAATCAATATAGAGAAGAGATAATATTTTTATTAAAATATCTCATCCTTATAAAATATCAATGTGTGCTTTGAACTACAAAACTTTTTTTATGATTAATGTAATACCATAGATATAATAGTTATTTCAGTTACACTAAAATATACTCCGTAAATGAATACGGAGTATCAAATATTAATTTTGTTTAAGTCATGATCAAAGTTGATCAACTCGATGTAGTAAAAGATCAAAATTTTAGAAACTCAAATTACAGGTAGCAATATAATTTATTTAAAATTAGAATTAAATTGACATTATCAATATATTTTAAAAATAATTTTTCCAATGTCTAATAATTAAGAATTACTTTCTTAGTTTTCTATTTATTTGTTTCTAAAGTTTATTTTTTTCATTTTTAAGAATAATAATAATAATAATAATAATAATAATAATAATAATAATAATAATAATAATAATTCTTAATTGGATCTTATCTGATGGTCTGATCTCATTGTATCAGAACTGATGGTCTGATCTGATTGGATCTGATCTGATCTGATTTTAATAAAATTAAGAAAAAATAAGTTGAACAGAACGGGGCCTTACACGCCACCTTTGTATGTAAAATAGTTCTTCCGTCCTACACCTTTTTTTCTTCTTGGTTATTCATGATTTTAATACGGAGTACTTTGGTTATTAATATCTCTGGTTATATATAAAAATAAAATATTAAAATATGATATTTCAAAATATGTTTGGAAATAAATCTATTGATACTAAGTTTATATATTATTATTAAAAAAAAAATTTCATAATTTATCCTCAAAGTTTAAAAATTTTATTCACAAAATAAAAATGAAAAAAAATACTCCAATAGGGTGTATACAAATACAAACTTAGAAAAAAATGTGTGTTTTTGTATCATTGGGTTCGGACCATTGGTTTTGTTGATCTAGTTTACACTCCAATAGGGGCAACAATGACCTAGGGGTAGACACGATACGGTTCCGGTCCGGTTCGGTGTCGAAACCGTCGATTCCAGTCCTGCCTCCCCATGGCACCGTTATCCATGGGTGGTCCGGAGAGTGTGCAAAGTCGTCAATCACACAGGACTCTTAAAATTTTAAGACTCCATATTTTTAAATTTGACATTAATTTCAAAGCATAAGTATTCAAAAAAAATAAAATCGGACCCAAAACATAAATTTTGAATCGGGCCAATTTTATTTTTTCATTTTTCTCGGGGCCGGCCCTGCCGTTAGCGGTACCGGTGCTAACGCTACTGGCGCCGGTACTCGCACATGCGGTTCGAGCACCGATCTGTCGGTTTATTCCGCCTCCAATTTTTTAAAATATTTTTTCTAAAAATTTATAAATGTGTATGGGTAAAAGCAAAAGAAATTTGTAACTTTTTAATTTTAATGAATTAAAATATCTAAAAATGTAGTTATTATTTAAATATTGAAAAATAAATAGTAAAAAACAACTACATTTAATATCTTTACGGTTCAAAAAAAGTGACGAAGTATAAACCATAAAGAAACTCTCGAAGGAGCTTATATATCGCTCACCTAAAAAACTAATTACAATTAAATAAAACAATTATTCACTTATTCCTCGGAATTAGGACTTCCGTCTGTGGTTGCAATTCATGTAATTTATCAATGTCGTATCCTGAATCTGACGTCTTGCCAAGAACCAATCTAGATTCCAAACACAAAGTACCAGTAATAAAGATGAAGCTTTTGCTCCTCCACATTCAAGACCAGGCTTCAATATTTTTTCTTAGGTTTATTACAAGTCTACCTGTGTGAGAAGAAGACCAAGAGGTAAAGAAAGAAGACGAAGAAGAAAAAAAACAAGTAAAAGAAGAAGACGAAGGGCCGGCGATAGGGATCGATCTGGGAACCACCTACTCTTGTGTCGGAGTCTGGCAGCCACAGCAAGAACGTGTTGAGATCATCGCCAACGATTTGGGCAGTCGCACGACGCCGTCTTGGGTTGCATTCACCAAAGTGGAACGATTAGTGGGCAAATCTGCACAGAACCAGGCCCCAGTCAACCCCTCCAATACCATCTTCGGTATCTGCCTTTTCTCCCTTCAAATTTTCCTGTTTTATTTTTATGTAGTTTCTCTTAAGCAGTCCTAAATACAAAAAAATGCAAACTTTGTTCGGTACCCAGTACCCACTAAACAGCATCCCTCTCAAATCAATGCTCAATACAGCTTGAGTCCCTCTTTCACATTACTGATTACTCTTTGCAAACAAGCTGTCAAATTTTGGAATTTAATAGGTGTGGGATGTACATTTCTTGTTTCTTGGACATGAATGGCAGATGTGAAGAGGCTGATAGGTAGAAAGTTTAGTGATGTAACGGTGCAAAACGATATGAAGCTCTGGCCATTTAAAGTCACAGCTCGCCCTGGAGACAACAAACCAATGATAGTTGTAACTTTCAAGGGCAAAGAGAAGCAATTTGCTGCTGAAGAGATATCTTCAATGATCCTCCAAAAGATGAAGAGTGTTGCCGAGGCCTATCTAGGGAAGCAAGTCAAGAATGCTGTTATCACTGTTCCTGCCTACTTCTGTGATGGCCAGCGTCAAGCTACAAAAGATGCTGGTTTCATTGCCGGGCTTAATGTCTTGCGCATCATCAATGAGCCCACGGCTGCTGCAATTGCCTATGGTCTTGACAAGAAAGGATCTGGAAGTGGCGATTCTGCTTCTAAAAACATTCTGGTATTTGATCTTGGTGGTGGGACATTTGATGTCTCTATTGTCAGAATGGAGAAGGATGTGTTTGAGGTCAAAGCTGTTAATGGGAACACTCACCTTGGAGGGGGAGACTTCAATAACCGAATGGTGAGTTTGAGAGGAAACACAACAAAGACATGAGTGGAGATCTTAGGGCTCTCGGGCGGTTAAGAGCAGCTTGTGAAAGGGCCAAAAGAACTCTCTCTGCAACTGCCGAAACATCTCTTGATATTGATTGTTTATTTGATGGCATTGATTTCTCTTCAGGCATTACCCGTGCACGGTTTGAGAAACTGAATATGGATCTGTTTGAAGACTGTATGGAGCTAGTTGAGAATTGTTTGAAAGATGCCAAAATGGAGAAGAGCCACATTCATGATATTGTTTTGGTTGGGGGGTCCACCCGTATCCCAAAGGTTGAAGAATTATTACAAAAACTCTTCCATGGAAAGAAGCTTTACAAAAGTATAAATCCAGATGAGGCGGTTGCCTGTGGAGCATCTTTTCATGCAGCATCCCTGACTGGTGCCTGTTTGGGTGCGAAAAAGGATGTTGTGTTGGTTGATGTTGCTCCGCTATCTCTTGGTATTGGGTGTTATAGTGGTGCAATGTCTGTTGTTATTCCAAGGAATACCCCCATCCCTACAAAGATGACCAGGCACAATTACAAAAATGTTTATGACAATCAAACAGCTACTTTGTTCCCTGTGTATGAGGGGGAAATGCCAATAGCAATATACAACTATTTCTTGGGAGAATTTACCCTCCGCAACATTCCTCCGGCGCCTAGAGATGTTCCTAAGTTTGATGTTGATTTTGAAATCGATGCCAATGGCATCTTGACCGTATCTGCTCAACTCGTGGGAAGTAACAACAAGGAACAAATCACTATAACCAATCACAGCGCTAGGTTGTCAAAGGCAGAGATTGATCGAATGGTGAAGGAGGCCGAGGAGTACAAGGCTCAAGAGGAGGAGCTCAAGAAATCATCCGCAGCTAAAAATGCTTTAGAGAGTTACATCCACTACGCAGGGGGCACTTTGGGTTGCCATGGAAATAGGGTTGAGATGAAGGATAGGAGTGCTTTGAGAGATGCAATTGAGAAGACGGTCCATTGGTTAGAGTGGAACTACCTTCTTTGCGATGCTCTCAAGTTTGAAGAGAAGAGGAAAGAGCTCGCGGCTATATGCGAGCCTGTCATCACTAAGATGATGCAGCCTGGGCAGGGTAGTTGCTGCAAATTTGCCAAGGCTGAGATCATTGAGATAGAGGATGACTAGTGGAAGCTGATGAATCTTGAAGCCCAGTTTTATTATAGGTGCAGATTATGGCATGTTGATTATGTTCAAAGTTTTTTGGTTAGGCAGTATGGTAATGCTATGTAAGCTCATGATTCTTGATAACTTTATCTGGTTTTTTGCAGCTTCAAACAAGTGCATATGTATGTATTCCCAAAAAATAGCTGACTAAAAACAAACACATGCGCACACGGAAGTTTTTGAAATACATGTGCACTTTTAGCTCAATATTGGAGCAAAATGTAGCCTTTATGCTAAAATAGTAGTTGTTGTAATTTCAATGAAGTCAAGAGTGAAATATCTATGATTATTTTTATTTTTTTATTTTTTTGGGATTTTTTCTGTGTGAAAAAACCTTGCAACTATTTTTTTTTTTGCTTTTTTTTAAAATAAATTCATATCAATTGCAAGAAATTTCAGGTGTGAAATACATGTGATGCTTTTACGTGATAATTTTTTAAAATTTTATGTGAAAAAATGTAACTATATTACTTTTCTTACTTTTTTGGAAATAAACTCACTTGATAATTCAAGCAAAACTCAACTCCAAAATAAATGTGATTCTTTTTAATTTTTAGAAAAATAATTTTTTTAGGAAATATATAAAATGTGACTATAATTTTTTTACTCCCTCCGTCCAAAAAAGAACTTCTCACTTTCCTTTTTCATCCGTCCACAAAAAAACTTCCCATTTCTAAATTTAGTAAGGAATTGAAGGGTAAAGGTCAATTATGCCCCTCCCTCTCATTCATCGTCATTATCCCCATTTACTCTACGCCACCCACCTATTATCTACCTCTACTTCTTCGCCATTTACTCCTTCACGCCATCCTCTTCCACAAACCTCTTAGATCTAGGGTTTTCCTCCTCTCTTTCGTCTCTATTCCTCCTCTCTGATACCTTCACCAAGTTGCTCTCACCTGTACCAGATCAGCGGATTTAAACGAGACAAGTGGGTGGGTGAATTTCCATGGATTCCGAAGATCTGCGCTACCTTTCTGTAATTGAAGACACTGTGGATGAAATCGACCCTGAGGAGACCGTCGAGGATGAAAAATCCTTTTCCGCATCTGGCAATTTGGTGATTGAGCAACTTCATCCTCTTGAAGAAGGTATTCCGGAGGTTGTCCCTGATTCAGAGGAAGAGGATGAGCCCGCTGAGCCCTCTCCAGTGTCAAGCTTTGTGTGCGCAAGAAAGCACACTTGTAACACCATCTTAAAGCTTATCTTCCTTTTTTCTTTTGCACATATCACGCCCAAACCCACTAAAGGGTAATATGGGAAAGTCAAGGACAATTTCAGATTTTCTTAAAGTGTGTGCCGGGTCAAACCGGAAAGTTCTTTTTTGGACGGATGGAGTATTTTAGAAAATAAATTTATTTGATTCTTAGAAATTGATTTTTTGTCCAAGTATTTTTATGAATCTATTTGATATTTTAATTGAAATATAAAGAGTTTTAGTAGTTTATTACTAATACTCCCTTCGTTCTTTAAAAATCTTCATCTTTACTAATACTGTCTCTCAATAACTCTTATTTGTTTGCATTTTCACTGATTATTTAATAAAATAAACTTTTCTTGTCACCTATTATTTTTATAGAGTTTTTTATGTAATTTTTAAATATAAAGTTTTTATTTTTTATTTATTTACCAATTTGTAAATAAAATCATTTTTAAATTCACAAGATTTTTCACATTGGTCAAAAAAAGAAATTCTTTTAGGTACAGATGAAGTACTCCGAGTATATTTTAAGAAATCTCATGAGTGAAACATACTACTCAAAAACAAACCGAAGTGTTAAACAATGGAGTTGCTAATTCTTAAAATTAAGCCCATGAAACCTACCAAAAAATCTATTAATTTGTCAACATATATGTTCAATCAACAAAAAACTTAAAATATATTGGTACTCTTTGATCGTTGAAGTGTATGTTTTCTTTTTGCTCTAGAATCTCTTGCTGATATCCATGTTTCGTTACGTTGATTTTCTACGGCTGCGAATCATAAGTTAAAAAAATTAAATTGTACACAATTTATTTATGAAAAAAATATAGAATTTGGAAATTATAATAAGTTATTAATGGATAAAAGGGACCAAAATGTTTATTATTTACGTGCTAAAAGGTAAGGTCGTAAGACTATGTATATTAAAAGGGAAAATATTTATAAATTTAAAAAAATACATTTTTAATAATCTAACACATGTTTTATGGAAGCTTTAAGTACTTAATTTAAAACAAAATTTTGGGTTCTTGCCTTTAAAATATAATAAATTCAAATATAATACTCCGTAAAAAACTAGTTAAACTCCTTCAGCCATCATTCATCCATCTCTTCACTCTCGCTGCCCTAAAGAATTGTTTTTAATATGCCGCTGGATGGGTACTTAGGAAATCAACTTTTATTACTTATTATTATTTTAATATTATATTATAAAATTTTTATATTTACTTATTGAACTATAACATCTATTTTATTCATCACATTTACACGTATGTCCAAGCTTAACAAACTATAAATCGTTGATCACCATTTTACGAAATGTACCCGAAAACCTAATTTTACATAAAAAGGTCAACTTTACCAAAAGTTCATATTTTTATGTCAAAAGATAGTATATTTATTTTTATTAAAATAATGACTAACTACTAAACCAATTTTTTGGGTTGTTACAAGACCTATCATCAAGTCTCATGTTCTTTTCAAGGATCCCTCTCACTTTTGGAGTACTGTTGGTGGTTTGCATTATTTAGTTGTTATTTGTACGGATATTCAATACGCTAATTGGGTGTCTCAGATTATGCACAACCCAACTGAGCAAAATTATCACGCCTTGCAGCGTATCCCTCGCTACCTAAAAGGTACTTTACACCTTGGTCTTCTTTTTCGAAAGGGGGGCTTTGATCTGTTTGTTTATTCTAATTCTGATTGGGTAAATGACAAAGATGATCGTAAGTCCACAACTGGTTAAATCCTCTTTCTTGGTTCCAATCTCATCTATTAGTGTATGAAAAAGCAGACTCATATTTCTAGATCTTCCACTGAAATTGAGTATCGTGCTATGGCTGCAGGCGTGGCCAAAGCTATTTGGCTACGCTATATTACCGATGCCTTGGGCATTCCTCCATCAAAACCACGTTTATACTATGACAATGAGTTAACTATCTATGTCACCAAAATTCCAGTTCTCTATAATCGTATGAATCATGTTGGTTCAGATTCTCATTTTGTACGAGATTATGCTTCCTCTGCGGAGCAATTAGTAGACATTCTCACGAAGCCGCTTCCGCCAATTCCATTCGAATATTTTGTTCTAAGCTGCCCCTCGTGTAGGGGTGGGTTCGTTTTTGGCGGTTCGGTTTTTACCCAAAACCAAAGACAAAACGGAAGGTAAGTTGGCGGTTCGGTTCGGTTCGATTTTGCATTAAAAATATGTAAACTGTTGGTTATTCGGTTCGGTTTTAAGCAGTTTTTATTTTGGTTTTTTTCGGTTTTTTCGGTTCATAAAATTAAATAATTATAAGCATTAAAAATTGTATAAATACTAACTCGACGAAGTAATAACAATACGTAAGTTTGAGTTTGGTTTTTTTGCTTGATTTTTACTAAAAAAAGCAGAACGAAAGGTTAGTTTTCTATTCGGTTCAATTTTACATACACAGTACGTGTCAAGTGCATAACAAACATCTAGGAGATTCCAAATAATCCTAAAGATATCGTATGTAAAATCAACTATAGAGATTTTATGTTTTTTTGATATAATACTTTCATTTACATTATAACATCAAAGTTTTTTTTACGTAAATATGTTAACTACTCATATTAATTTTTAATGTTATATAATTCTATATTAGGATTAGTTATTGGTGTTTATATTCTTAGATTTTTTAAAGTTTATAATATGGTTAAAATTTTTAATTAATAGTTATGAATTTTTTTAATCAACTAGTAATATATTTGCATTTTTGTTTAAATGATTTTTATACATATCACATATACTCATATAAATAAAAAAGAAGCATATATTTAAGTTCGGTTTATTCGGTTCGGTTTGGTTTTTCAAAGTAAAAACCAAATTGAAACCAAACAATAACGGTTCAGTTTGGTTTTTTTTACATTCGGTTTCGGTTTTTTCGGTTCGATTTTTTGTCAAGCTCGTTTCAATCGATTTCGGTTCGGTTTTCGGTTTTCGGTTTTTCCGTTCCAGCCCTACCCTCGTGTGGGGATATTGGGAAATAGAATACTACCTCCGTCCCATTGTCTTTGTCCACTTTTGACTTTTGGAACTGTTCATCTAAGCACTTTGACTCATCAAATTTTCTCAATGTGTAAGCCTAAAAATAGTCATGTGTGATCTTGTTTGATTCGTCTTAACATATAGATTATTAATATATAATTTTTATAATTTTTTAATATACAAATTATAAAATAAAATGGATTAAAGAAGTGCATTGAATGGTATGCCAAAAGGTAAGTGGACAAAGACATTAACAGGAGCGAGAGAGTATTACGTAGTATGGAGTATTAAATACGGAGTACGAAGTATTCATTTCAATAAAAAAGGTTGGATAAGGTCACATTTCTTCGGATGTGGACGTCTGTGGACGTCAGGATCTCTGAAGCACAAATATAGCTTGAGTAAAGAATTACAAACCCGCCGATAGGAGAAAAAGAAGAAGAAGAAGAAGAAGAGAATAGGGGACCATCTTCCGGTTACCTCCTCTTCCTACTCAAAATCGTACTTCTGCGCAATTCGCCGATTCATTTCTTTATTTCTAATCAACTGCTTGTGCTTATTTGTGTTCTAGATAACGATAGTCAACTTGTATTGTTATGTTTCTGTTCCTCAAAGTTTTTTGAGTATGGAATTTGCAGATGAACATCTAAATAAGATTACAATTCTGTATTCATCTTCAACACTAGAGCGAGAGAGAAGATGTCGAAGGAAAAATTATGTGGCGGAAGAGGATCAGCGACTAAAGCAGAAGCAGAATGGCCGGCGATTGGAATTGATCTCGGAACCACTTACTCTGTCGTCGGAATTTGGCAGCCGAATCAGGGCCGGGTGGAGATCATCACCAACGATTTAGGCAACCGCACTACGCCGTCTTGGGTTGCCTTCACCGCTGCTGATCGATTGATCGGCGAATCTGCTCAGAACCAGGCCGCATTTAATCCCTCCAATACCATCTTCGGTTTGATTTTTGTCTTTCTTCTTTCTCTTTTGGGTTTGATTTTTAAATAGTCCATGCTTAGATTTTCAAATTAATATTAACATTCTACTTCCCAAGCATGAAGCTGCATAACCTTTTTTCATCAAACAAGGAAACTCATATTTATGTGCATTGTATATGCTTCACATTTTTGCATATTATGTGTGAGTTTGGTGAGCACTAATTATGTAGCAGTTCTTTGACCTTAGGGATTAGTTCACAAGTTTTGAAAGTTTGAGGAATATTTACCACGGGGATTATTTACTCTTTTTTAATACAATTCCTCAGTTGGCGATTCAGAAAATTGAAGACTTGGTGGCACTTTAAAAAACTAAAGTCTCAAAGCAAAATACAACACAAAATACAAATATTAAAATAGTCTTAGTATGAAATCATGTATAGTGTATAGCAATTCAAATAGTATAAAACCAGTAAACAACAACAACAATAATCTCTATCCACTAAAGTAAAGTTAGCCGGTTCCGGTGGCCCAAATCTCATTCCTGTTTTTGATGAATGGTTAATCATTCCATTCCTTTATGTTACAAGTTTTTACAAAATGGTGACTATCTGGAGCCTAGACATCATTTACACGTAGTGTTTTTCATTATTGAAGTTACTCCCTATAATTTGGGAATGGAATTTGTTTCTTATGCAAGAAATTTTTTAGATGGCTTGTTATTGTCATACCCATATTGATTGTTGTATTTGAATGGCAGATGTGAAGAGGCTGATAGGAAGGAAATTCAACGACACAATAGTACAAAATGACATGAAGCTCTGGCCATTTAAAGTCACAGCTGGCACTGATGATAAGAGTGCTGAGAAACCTTTGATAGTTGTAACTTACAAGGGTGAAGAGAAGGCATTTGCTGCTGAAGAGATATCTTCAATTATCCTCCAAAAGATGAAGAGCATTGCTGAGGCCTATCTAGGCAAAAAAGTCAAGAATGCTGTTATCACTGTTCCTGCATACTTCAATGATGCACAGCGTCAGGCTACGAAAGATGCTGGTGTCATTGCCGGGCTTAATGTCTTGCGTATCATCAATGAGCCCACAGCTGCTGCAATCGCTTATGGTCTCGACAAAAAGGGAGTTGGAAAAGGTGATTCTGCTTCAAAGAACATACTGGTTTTTGATTTGGGTGGTGGTACTTTTGATGTCTCTATTCTCACAATGAAGGAGGATGTGTTTGAAGTAAAAGCTGTTAACGGGGACACCCATCTAGGTGGAGGGGATTTCAATAATAGAATGGTGGGCCACTTTGCAGCTGAGTTTGAGAGGAAACACAAGAAAGACTTGAGTGGAAACCCCAGGGCTTTAGGGCGGTTGAGAGCGGCTTGTGAGAGGGCCAAGAGAAACCTCTCTTCAGCTACTGAGACATCCATTGACATTGAGTGTCTCTTTGAGGGCATTGATTTCTGTTCAAGCATCACCTGTGCACGATTTGAGAAAATGAATATGGATCTATTCAAAGGCTGTATGGAGTTAGTTGAAAAGTGTTTAAAGGATGCCAAAATGGAGAAGGGGGACATTCATGATGTTGTTATGGTTGGTGGGTCCAGCCGAATCCCTAAGGTTGAGGAACTGTTGCAAGAACTCTTCAATGGAAAGAAGCTCTGCAAGAGTATAAACCCAGATGAGGCTGTTGCCTGTGGAGCAGCTTTTCATGCTGCATCCCTCACTGGTGCCTGTTTGGGTGTGAACAAGGATGTTGTGCTTGTGGATGTTGCTCCACTATCGCTTGGTATTAGGGTTTATAGTGGTGCGATGTCTGTTGTTATTCCAAGAAATACCCCCATCCCTACAAAGATGACACAGCACAATTACACAACTGCTGTGGACAACGCCACAAGTGTTCTGTTCCCCGTGTATGAGGGGGAAATGCCAATAGCAAGAGACAACTATTTTCTCGGAGGATTTACCCTCCACAAGATTCCTCCCGCGCCCAAAGGTGTTGCCAAGTTTGATGTTTGTTTTGAAATCGATGCCAATGGCATCTTGACTGTGTCTGCAGTACTTGTGGGTAGTAAAAACAGGGACCAAATCACAATAACCAATCACAGCTTGAGGCTAACAAAGGCGGAGATTGTTCGGATGGTGAAGGAGGCGGAGGAGTACCAGGCTCGAGAGGAGAAGCGCAAGAAGGCATCAGAGGCTGGGAATGCATTGGAGAATTACATATACCGCTTGAGGGGTACTCTGAGTAAATTTGGAAATTCTAAGAAAAATAAATAAAAAAACTATGGGGGTACGTGTTATTGGTGGAACTCTGGAAGTACTAGAATGGGTGGAAATTCAGACATAACTTGTGACTGCCTTATTTGTATAGACTCCCTTCGTTTGCATATATTCTACTCTACTTAGTTTTCATCTTCGGTTTATAAGTCAACACTGTGTATATATATATTCCCTAAATATAAACGCCCCATTGACAAGACATTGAGCCTGTTTGGGAATAGCGTTAGAGATTAGCGTTAGCGTTTTGGATAAAATTTTAACGGTACAGATTACTTTGAAAACGCTGCCCGTAGATAGTCTTTTCAAAACGCTAACGCTAATAGCTAACGCTATTTCCAAACAGGTCCATTGTTGTAAAAGGCACGTGCCTTTTAACAAATTATGTTCCTAAGTAAAGATCTGTTCACTATGGTTAGAGTAAGATTGAATTTTCAATGTCATAGGATAATCCGAGCATCTACTGTGCTTTGTTTGAAAAATTAATGATTCCCACCTCTCAATCCATTGGTAAACCCCTCACCCCGGCCCCATATTCACTTCATACTCCCTTTAATTGTACCCTACAAAATTTAGTTAAAATTTAAAAAACTTACATAAATTAGAAAAAAACTTCTTTGAATGTATTTTTCATACTCCGTAGTATTTTTATTATAATTGGTATTGCTATTATTGATAAGTTGTTGTTCTTATAATTATAATACTCCCTCCGTTCCAAACTTGATTACAATTTTTTTCTTTTTCCTCTCGATAACTTTTGTTTGTTTACGCGATTTCAATAAGTATTTGATAAAATAAAATATTCTTGTCACCTCTTGTTTTGTAGAATTTTTTACGTAGTTTTTAAACATGTACTCCGGGTATTTATTATTTCTTATTGATATATCGATTTCTAAATAAAATGATTTAAAAACTGAGATATTTTTCTCGTAAACCCCAATTTGATTACAAATTGAGAACAGAGGGAGTACATAGTAATAATTACTATTGGTTTTATAAATTTCATAATAGATAAAAAAAGTAAATAAAATTCGACTACATGAATAATGCATATGTCATTGAATTAGATACAGCCGTACAAGAGTAGTTTAATTATATTTTTTTTATTTATAATATTGATGTTTTCCATGTAATTTTATACTAATAAAATATTCATAATTTTTTGAAGCAAAGTTCAGTGTCATGCAAATTTGTAAAAAAACATTCCCCAATAAAATTGTACTCCACATTTATAATATACCGAGTAAAATTAATAGAAGAAAAAATAATAATAAATGTGATTTACAAAATACGGAGTAGTAACATATGAATAATAATAATAATAATAATATGAATAATAATAATAATACATGAAAAACATACTTCAGGTGTTATTTTTAGAGTTATTTTTTGGGAGAAAATGATAGTGAAGAAAATGAGAATAGTTGACAAAATATGAAGAAAATAAAAAAAATTAAAAGAACGGGTAAAAACAGGAATAAATATAAAAAAAGGTAATTTACCTAAATATAACTAAAACATAATGACTTTTTCAATATAGGACCATATGTTTTTATTTACCAATGTAGGACCATTGGTCATTATCTATAAGTTATTATTTAACTAAATGTCTAGCATCACTTGGACATTATTCTTCTCACTAGTCATTATTAAGTCCTATTTAAGTCTTACATTGAGAAATGACTTAATTTTTAGTCCTATTCAGTGCAAATTTCACTATAAAAAAACTGAAAGTTAAAACTTAAAGTTCTAAAGAATAAAGTCTTAAATGTGTTTTCGTTTTTACTACTATGTAAAACTCGGTAATACGTATGTATGTATGCATAGCTCTCTTTATAGTGGAACTCATACAGAATTATAGGGAACCAAATATTTAGGAGTATGAGATTAAGTGCTAGGGAGGGAGTAGTTATTAAAATCTGTACTAAAATCTACCAAAATATTGTACTCCTACACACGTTCCTAAATCCCAATAAAGTAAATAAACTGTAAAACCCTCAGAACCGAACCAGAAAATACGGCTCTGAAGTCTGAACTGGGAAGTGCCGAAGTGGGAGCAGGAGAGGAGAAGTCGAAGATAATGGAGGAGACTGGAAGAAGGCCAACTGATGAAGGAGAAGGGCCGGCGATAGGGATCGATCTCGGAACCACTTATTCTTGTGTTGGTGTCTGGCAGCCACAGCACGACCGAGTTGAGATCATCCCCAACGATTTAGGCAACCGTACGACGCCGTCTTGGGTTGCCTTCACCGATTCCGAACGACGCATCGGCGAATCTGCACAGTACCAGGCCGCCGTCAATCCCTCCAATACCATCTTTGGTACGTCCCTTGCCTTTTTCTATTTTTTATTCTTGTCTTTAATTTGTGTAATTGAGGTCTTTTTTTTTTACATTACTCTTCCCATTACTTACTTTATGCCAATGTATCCAACAAGCCATCAAATTTGGCTGGAATCTACTCACTCCATCCTTTAATTTATGATTGACGAAAGCTCGGGTAAAAATTATTTTCAAATTTATTTAAAAAACTTGTCGTAAAATTTTTAAAAAAATCAAATATTTATAAACTATGTCAAAAGTTCAAAAGATAAGAGGTGACACTATATTATTTAATCAAATAAGTAACGAAAAATAGGTTAAGGAAGAAGATAAATCTGCATTGCGAATAGTGGGCAATGACATTCATTTCAGAACGGAGGAAGTAATAAACATATTATTTGTTGTATATGAATGACAGATGTGAAGAGGCTGATAGGTAGAAAGTTTAGTGATGTAACGGTGCAAAATGACTTGAAGCTCTGGCCTTTTAAAGTCATCGCTGGCCCTGATGGTGGCAGTGGTGGTGGAAAGAAACCAATGATATCAGTCACTTACAAAGGCGAAGAGAAGCTATTTACTGCTGAGGAGATATCTTCAATGATCCTCCAAAAGATGAAGATTATTGCAGAGGCATATCTAGGCAAACAAGTCAAGAATGCTGTCATCACTGTTCCAGCCTACTTCAATGATGCACAACGTCAAGCTACAAAAGATGCCGGCGTCATTGCTGGGCTTAATGTCCTACGCATCCTCAATGAGCCTACAGCTGCTGCAATTGCCTATGGTCTTGACAAGAAAGGATCTGGTAGTGGTGATCCTGCTTTAAAGAACATACTGGTTTGGAGGTGGGACTTTTGATGTCTCTATTGTCGCAGTGAAGAAGGACGTGTTTGAAGTCAAAGCTGTTAATGGGGACACCCACCTTGGGGGAGGGGATTTCAATAACAGAATGGTGAGCCACTTTGTAGCTGAGTTTGAGAGGAAACATAAGAAAGACATCAGCACAAATCCTAGAGCCCTAGGGCGGCTGCGAGCAGCATGTGAGAGGGCCAAGAGAAACCTCTCTTCAGTTACAGAAACGTCTATTGACATTGAGTATCTTTGTGAGGGCATCGATTTCTCTTTGAGCATCAACCGTGCACGGTTTGAGAAAATGAATTTGGATCTCTTCAAAGATTGCATGGAACCAGTTGAAAATTGTTTAAAGGATGCCAAAATGGAGAAGAACAACATTCATGATGTTGTTTTGGTTGGTGGGTCTACCCGAATCCCAAAGATTCAGGGTTTGTTGCAAGACTTGTTCCATGGAAAGAAGCTTTGCAATAGTGTAAACCCGGATGAAGCTGTCGCTTGTGGAGCAGCTTTTCATGCTGCATCCCTGACTGGTGCCTGTTTGGGTACGAATAAGGATGTTGTGCTTGTGGATGTTACTCCTTTGTCTCTTGGTATTGAGACGTATGATTTGGACATGTCTATTGTGATTCCGAGGAATACCACCATCCGTACAAAGATGACAGCGAAGATGCAAACTGCTGTTGACAACCAAACAAGTATTTTGTTCCCAGTGTTTGAGGGGGAAATGCCAATAGCAATGGACAACTATTTTCTGGGCAGATTCTCCCTCCATAACATTCCTCCAGCACCCGAAGGTGTTGCTAAGTTTGATGTTGATTTTGAAATCGATGCCAATGGCATCTTGACTGTGTCTGCAGTACTAGTGGGTAGTGACAACAGAGACCAAATCACAATAACCAATCACAGTGCTAGGTTGTCGAAGGAGGAGATTGATCGGATGGTGAATGAGGCTGAGGAGTACAAGGCTCAAGATGAGCAGCGCAAGAAGGCAGCCATGGCTAAAAATGCTTTGGAAAATTACATCCACTACGCGAGGGGCACTTTGAGCGGCTGTGGGAATAGGGCTGGGATGAAAGACAAGATAGCTTTGAGAGAAGCAGTTGAGAGGACTGGCCGTTGGTTGGAGTGGAACTACCTTCTCTGTGATGCTCTCAAGTTTGAGGAAAAGAGGAAAGAGCTGGAGGCCGACTAGTTGAGGCCGATGAGTGTTGAAACTCAGTATTAGTATTAGACACTATTAGTTGCAGATTATGGCATGTTCTCTTTGTTAGGCAGTATGGTAAAGCTTTTGTAGGCTCATGATTCTTGAAGTTTTATCTGGTTTTGCAGATCCTTATATTGTCCAAATTGACACTTTGTTGACAATCCTCCTAAGTGTCCTATAGAGGAGTAGATCCTCCCCATGGGAACCATAGGAAGGGACTTTGCCATGTATGTGATATCAATGCATAACAGAGATGTGTTGTAAATCAATTTAAACTTTGTCTCATCTACTCAGAATATGTAATTGTTGCTCTCCCATTGGTCAAACATGTGAAATGAGTATTTTCTAAATTCTAAATGTACATATGACGGATATATACTAATATCGTACTTCCAAATTTATAATCTGCTACATTTCAAACATAGACAAAGTTGATTTTTTTATCCGGTTTTTTTCTTATACATATTTGGTTGATTTAATGTAGTGGTTGAGGTGTGTGTGTGTGTATTATTTTAATACAAAAAGAAATTCCAAGTTATAATAATCTATATTTATTTCACGACCTTTCATTTTATAAAATTCTTAAAGTAAGCTTCAGAGGATCAATCTTTTGGATTGGTTCTAACCTTTGTATCAGTTTGTCCTCCATTAGTTTCGAACTGGTTCAAGTCCTTATGAATTAAGATGATTTGAGACTATCATACTTTGGGCTAGTCTCAAGAATAAATTATACTTCCTCCGTGCTATATCTTTCTTCCCGTTGCGCAAAACGAAGAAAAATCTCAAGTTTTTTCAATCTATTTTATTTAAATATTGGTATAGAAATAAAAAATAAAACATACATATTTTAAAACTACATCAAAAATTCAACAAAACAAGTGGTGACAATAATATTTTATTTTATCATATAGGCCATGAAAAAACACAAATAAATATAAATTTCCGTGAAGTTGAAATAGTGCTCTGGAAAAAAAGTTTTAGGACGGAGGGAGTATCTCAAACTTTCATATTTTGATCCTTTTCTATATATCATTGTAGTCTCAATTTCTTTAGGTTGTGTATTTTTCACCACCAACTTCGAGATCTAAAGACATCTTTTGTTTACAAAACATATTCAAATACGGAGTAAAAAAGTTAAATTATTCCGGTTTTGACTTTTTATAGTAAACTAGTTTTAACTTTTGTCTTATAATTAAATACTACGGTATATATATTTTTTATTAATTACTCCCTCCGTCCATAAAAGAACTTCCCACTTTCCTATTTGGGATGTCCACAAATAAACTTCCCATTTCCTTATTTGGTAACTTTTTTTTAAGTAAATGTCTCATTTACCCTCTCTACAAAACATACCATCCATCCTCACAACCCAACCTTATCTTTTCTTCCACCACCACCACGTATCTCTCTCCCTCTCTCTCAATAATTCTCTTCATCTCCACTAGATCTACCCTATTCTTTTTCTTGAAATTGTCTCCATCAGCATCTATATCTACGTTGCTCCCAGCATCGCTTCTCGCTGCCAAAATCTAGCAATAGTTAGATCGGTTAGATTATTCAGTTCCTCGTTAAATTCGGTCCAATTAGATCCCTCCTTGACGTTTATGTTTAGACTATGACTACAACAGCGCACTGGAAAGAGATGTGACGACAATTGAAGCGGTGGAAGGCAGTGGGGTTGTTGAGACGAAGATTGTAGAGGAGCTGCTGAGACGGTGTTTGCAGTCAGGGGATGGGGGCGGCGGGGGGCTGTTAAGACGGCGATTGCAGTGGTGGGATGGGGGCAGCGGCGCTGCTGTTGAGAAGATGATCGCATATGGGTTGCTGCGACGGCGATTGAAGTGGGTGGATGAGGCCGGAGACAGAACAATGGGTTGGATGGGTAGAGGGGTATTTTAGGAAAGTCAATGCCTTTTTTAATTTGCATAAATATGCTCACCAAGTCAAAATGGGAAGATTAAAAATGGACAGAGGGAGTATATAAGATAATATTTGAAAATATTCTATAAAATGAATCTAATAAAAAATTTTAATATCAATATTTAATATCAATATTGTTTAATTTATAGTTAATATTTACCAATTTTAACTTAAAAAAATCAAAAATAGACAAATAAGGAAAAAATATAATAGAGGCATATAAATGGAATGGGTACGATTAATCCGGGAACTGCCACGCCAATACGTCATGGGGTACAGTTTAAAATTTTATACTCCGTATTAAAGTTTATTCATCGCAAACGCCACTCACTGATCCCTACTGGGCGCCATGGACGGAAGCAAGAAACGGAAACGCGCCGCAACCGCAGTTGAAGAAGCTCCGGCGATCGGAATCGATTTGGGAACCACTTATTCTTGCGTCGGAGTCTGGCTGCCGCAACACCACCGTGTTGAGATCATCCCCAACGATTTAGGCAACCGGACGACGCCGTCTTGGGTCGCCTTCACCGACGTCCAACGCTTTGTAGGCGAAGCTGCCCTGAACCAGGCCCACATGAATCCCTCCAACACCATCTTCGGTCTGTCTTTTTTTTTTTTTGTGTGGCTTAAATAGAATTTTGAACTTTGATTTTTGAAATTGCCCAAAAATCCCTGGCTTCAATTCCCCATCCACCGGATTGTTATGAAAATTAATGTGTATGAATAACAGATGTGAAGAGGCTGATTGGTAGGAAGTTCAGTGATGTATCGGTGCAAAACGACTTGAAGCTCTGGCCTTTTAAAGTCATTGCTGGCACCGATGGTGGTAGTGGTGGTGGAAAGAAACCAATGATATCTGTCACTTACAAAGGCGAAGAGAAGCAATTTGCTGCTGAGGAGATATCTTCAATGATCCTCCAAAAGATGAAGAGTATTGCTGAGGCCTATCTGGGCAAACAAGTCAAGAATGCTGTTATCACTGTTCCTGCCTACTTCAATGATGCCCAGCGTCAGGCAACAAAAGATGCTGCTTTCATGGCTGGGCTTAATGTCCTAAGCATCATCAATGAGCCCATAGCTGCTGCCATTGCGTATGGTCTTGACAAGAAAGGATCTCGAAGTGGCAATTCTGCTTCTAAAAACATTCTGGTATTTGATCTTGGTGGTGGGACATTTGATGTCTCTATTGTCACAATCAAGAAGGGCGTGTTCGAAGTCAAATCTGTTAACGGGCACGCCCACCTTGGTGGGGAAGATTTCAACAACAGAATGGTGAGCCACTTTGTTGCTGAATTTGAGAGGAAACACAATAAAGACCTGAGTCAAGATCCTAGAGCTCTGGGGAGGTTAAGAACGGCTTGTGAGCAGGCCAAAAGATTCCTCTCTGCAACCACCGAAACATCTCTTGATATTGATTGTCTATTTGAGGGCATTGATTTCTCTTCGGCCATTACCCGTGCACGGTTTGAGAACTTGAATATGGATCTGTTTGGAGATTGCATGGAGCTGGTTGTGAATTGTTTGAAAGATGCCAAAATGGAGAAGAGGCACATTCATGATATTGTTCTGGTTGGCGGGTCCTCGCGAATCCCAAAGGTTGAGGGCTTGTTACAGGACCTCTTCCCTCTAACGAAGCTTTGGAAAAGTATAAATCCAGATGAGGCTGTTGCCTGTGGAGCAGCTTTACATGCTGCATCACTGACCAGTACCTGTTCTGGTTTGAATAAGGATGTCGTGCCAGTGGGTGTTGCTCCTTTATCTCTTGGTGTTGCAGCGTATAGCGGTGCGTTGTCTGTTGTGATTCCAAGGAATTCAACCATCCCCACGAAGGTGACGAAAAACTTCACCACTGCTTCAGACAGCCAAACTGGTTGGGATATTAAAGTGTATGAGGGAGAGATGCCCATGGCAAAAGACAACAACTTTCTGGTCAAGTTCACCCTCAATGGCATTCCTCCAGCACCCAAAGGTTTTGCTCAGTTCGAGGTCACCTTTGAGATTGACGCCAATGGCATCTTGGCTGTGTCTGCAAAGCTTAAGGGAAGTAGTAACACGAACCAAGTCACTCTAACCAATCACAGTGCTAGGCTGTCAAATGTTAAGGTTGGTCGGACGGCCAAGGAGGCCAAGGCTAGAGTTGAGGAGCGCAAGAGAGCATCCGTGGCCAAGAGAGCTTTAGAGAATTACATTCACTACGCAAAGGGCACTTTGGGTGGGTGTGGAAATATGGCTAGGACCAAAGACAAGATAGCTTTGAGTGAAGCAATTGAGAGAACGGTCTGTTGGTTGGAGTGGAACCACCTTCTTCATGATGCTCTCAAGTTTGAGGAAAAGAGGACAGAGCTGGAGGCTATATGTGAGTCTGTCATCACTAAGATGATGCGGCCTCGGCAGGGAAGTTACGCGTGTGTCAAGGCTGAGATCATTAAGATAGAGGACGACTAGTTGAGGCCGATGAGTGTTGAAACTCAGTATTAGTATTAGACACTATTAGTTGCAGATTATGGCATGTTCTCTTTGTTAGGCAGTATGGTAAAGCTTTTGTAGGCTCATGATTCTTGAAGTTTTATCTGGTTTTGCAGATTCTTATATTGTCCGAATTGTTACTTTGTTGACAATCCTCAAGTACGTCTATCTCACTATCTTTTTAGGAAAATGCTAGAGGTACACCAAAAGTGTACCCCAAACATCCTCCACCCCCTCCATCACCACAAAAAAAGGCAAGAAATATTCAAAAAAAAATTAAAAATAAAAACAAAATAAAATGAATGGTAGAAAGGGGAGTGGTGTACATTTGGGGTACACATTTGGTGTACCCCTAGCATATCCCATCTTTTTATTAAAAAAAGATAGTGAGTACTTGAGTAGTTTGAGTAAGACGCCGCCACCAAATTTGAGTAGTTTGAGCACTGACACCTAATTCGTGTTACGTTCCGGTATGGGTACGTAATTCGGGTACGAAATTCGCTAGATGTGATGAATTCGGGACGAAAGGTGTAGGTTCATTTCGGTACGAAGCGGTACAGTGTACCATGCATTCGGTTCGGTGTACCAAAAGTCAAAAAATAGGTAAAGAGAAAATATGGCAAAAAAAGAAATTAGAAGCAAGTTGAGCCCAATAAGAATTTTAACCCAAAAGAGAAAGTAAAAACTATTGTGCTTTTTATTAAAAGTAATAGCATGCTTTTTAAAAGAAGCAATAGCGTAGAAGTAGACAGTTGCTTCGCCAAGATCTAAGGGCTGCGTCGTTTGTTACTTTCTATTTCGGAAATCGATCCTGTTGATCGTTATTCTAGCCACCGATCCAGACGATATCTATTCCCGATTTCCCTTGTGATCTAAATCACAAACCCAGGGATTCATGGTGATAGTATGATTGAATGGGTAACCTTAGTTCAATCGGATTCGGATCACAATTTTGGTACGCCGTACCGCCTACGTTCGGATCGCATTCGAATTGCGATTGGGTAAGCCGCGTACCAATATGGAAGACGCGGTTGTAGCACCGAATTCTGTGACTATGGTTTTGAGGTGGCAAAATCTTATTAGTTAAATGGATTGAGTAACTTGGGGGATGCGCCCTCAACCCTTAGACCCTGTGTTATGGCGGGCTTGATGAAGTGCCATGTAGGCACCTGTAAGTAGTTAAGTCTGAGTAAAAAATACGGAGTATGTGTTATGAGACATGAAAGAACGACATGACCGAAAAATGATGAGGTGAAGTTGTGGATTAATTTTATTGGTCGAAAAAAATAAAAAAATAAATAGAAAGAGAGAAGTTTACCACGGCAAGATGACTATCACAAGCAAAGGAGCAACGCCCCTTCATGTCTGATATGACATGGGAAGAGGGGCGTGAGGGGCTGGTCATGGGCGGGGGACATGTCCCATAATGGACGACCTTAAAAAAACTTATAAGTATAATAAACACAAAATTAGTTCATTAAGAGATTTAGTTCATTAAATTTCTTATTTGTCTTTGGTATGTAGTTCATTAAATCAAATCGTAATATAAATTTAATATTAATAAATTCAAAAATTGATTTTATATGATGGGAGGGAGGTTTTTTTTGAAGGTTGTAGGGAGTAACAGAGTATTAATTTATTTGGATACCAAAAATAAAGACACGAAAGAGCTTCGAAAATTAAAATGAGACCGTTGAGTCCTTGGCCCGGTTTGGAAAACAGCTTTTCGGATAGCTTTTGGCATGTTTGACTGACTTTGGCTTTTTTGACTGAACGAACTCCCAAAACCGTTGTTTGGCTAATGGCTTTTTCACTTGACATATTGATCCGAAAAGCCAAAATCCGAAATGCCACGGGGAGTAGCATTTGGACTTGGCGGTTAGGAAAATTAATTTTTTTTAAAGTCATTTTTATTGAAAGATATTTTATAATATATGTAAAAACTAACAATAAAAATAAAAGTTAAAAAATTAAATACTAAAAAAAAATTAAATTTAAAAATTAAAAATTTCAAAAAATGAAATGAGAAAATTAAAAGGAAAAATAATTAAAAAGTTGTATATTAATAATTTCTTATGAATTAATTGAAAGTAAAATTTAATACTCTATATAGTAAAGATTTAACTTTTACAAGTAAAAAAAATGAAAAATTAATATCGTGTGTGTGTGTGTATATATATTGAAAAAAACTATTTTCAAACAGGTAATTTTACCAAACATTTTTAACAAGCCGCCAATTCATCCTGGCGGTCAAACCAGCTGAAGTAAACCGCCATTCACAACAGCTGACACGAACTGCCACCAGCTAACAGCCAACATCCAAACAGGGCCCTTGTGTTTTTTCATATGAATGAATACTGATAGGGCTGAAGATTGGCATTTGGCAAAATAGTGTGGTATGGAGAAACTCAATCGCCCTGAGGTGAATTTAACGCTTCCCGCCGAACGATGCAGCATTCCCCCCCAATCCCCGATGGAGGCAGAGGATTCTTCTTCTTCTTTTTCTGCTCCTGCTCAGACCTCTCGTATTCAGTGTCAATTTGTACATATCTATACACAAGTTGGCGGGTAACTTGCAGCTAGCAGGCGCTAGAGGGGTTTATTATAAAAGGCCGCGCCCCAAATTGATGCATGGGTTTATCAATTAGTATCACTGAAGTCGGAGAAAATGAGCGACAATGACGATGGAAGAAGAGCACCAGAAGAAGGCGAAGAAGAAGAAGGGCCAGCGATAGGGATAGATCTGGGAACCACTTACTCATGCGTCGGAGTCTGGCAGCCGCATCACCAACGTGTTGAAATCATCACCAACGATTTGGGCAACCGCACGACGCCGTCCTGGGTTGCCTTCACCGATGTGGAGCGACTCATCGGCGAATCTGCTCAGAACCAGGCTGCAATCAATCCCGCCAACACCATCTTCGGTACGTACATGCCTTTCCTCTCCTATACTCCGTATTTATTACTCTCCCCCCAAAACGAACATGATTAGGCCTGTGTCTCTGAGAACATACTTTATGCAGGTCTCATTGCCTCTTTTGGCTTTGATTCTGGAACTCATTTTGAGTAATTCAACTTTCTGCTTTTACTTCTACTCTGAAAGAGTACAAGAACTGACTGTTCTTTGAACATTTCATATGTTAACATAAACATGTGGATGGAGTTAACCTGAAAGGTACACTGTTTTCCTCTGTTAGTCCCTGTCTAATCATGTGGTTGGAATTAACCTTTTGAATGCTAATTTGGTAAGGAGAATAAGAGGATCAATAAAAATCAACAACTCCCTGTATTTCTATAACATTTTTTTAAAGACTGGCTAGTTGCATGGCTCAAATATCATCACTGTATATGATAAAGGAACTCAGTGTTGGTAAAATGGTTCATCATTGCATTCCGTACCAAATATCATCACTGTGAATGAAATGTAAAGAGGTATGTTGAAATAGTAACAAATATATTTCGTACCTATAAATGAAGGACTATGAACGTGATAATAGAGTAAATATGATAACTTTATTTTTTAAAAAAAACCCTTAGTTGTAGATAATCAATTATAGAACTTAGTCTTTGTGGTATTTATTTATTTGATAATTATACAGATTTATGATGGTCATGAATTTCTTATAAAAAAAAAGTTTTCTAAAACTTCGTAAAAAAATGTATTCCCTCTGTCTCTTATTGTCTCTTATTGGATGTCACACTCTAAACAATGTGCAAAATTTCATCATTTTAAAATTTATTTTAATTACAAATTAGTATAGAAATAAAAAGTATAAATTTTACTAGAAATGTTTTTACATTTGAGTTTTTTTATCAAAATTTGTAAATTTTAACTTTGATATGTGAAAAAAATACATTGTATTATATAATAATTTTAATATCAACATATATTCTTATTTAAATATAGTTTTCAAATACTCCGTATCATATTTTTATAAAATATATTTATGCATAAGTAAGAATATTAACGGTCAAAGTATAATTTTGAAAATCGTAAAAAGTAAAGTTAAATGAGAGACATATAACCGACTAGGGAGTAATATAAGGAGTAATATTTAATTTTTGGATAAAGCTATTTGTACCCCGCAGGTTTGCACCGACACTTTGTGTTAGTGTAAAACTAATTTTTGTTAATGCACCAACACTTTGTGTCTGTGTAAATTTTTGTTAACGCACAAACACTTGTGTCGGTGTAAACCATCAAAATGTTTGTGTATAACTACGGTGTACAAATGGGGTATAATTTGTGGTGTAAGCACCCTTAATTTTTTCCCGCTAAAGAGGAGGGCCAATTCCAGAAAAATAGGCAACTTCTTTTCCTTTATAAAACCCCACCACCAGTCCACCACCCATAGAAGAATGAAGAATTAAGGAGGAGGAGAAAATAGGCGCGGCCCAATCTTCCTACTCAAAGTTACACTTCAACACCAGAGCGATGAAAAAGATATGGGGCGGAAGAGGATCAGCAGCGGCCGAATGGCCGGCGATTGGAATCGATCTCGGAACCACTTACTCTGTCGTCGGAATTTGGCAGCCGAATCAGGGCCGGGTTGAGATCATCACGAACGATTTAGGCAACCGCACGACGCCGTCTTGGGTTGCCTTCACCGCTGCTGATCGATTGATCGGCGAATCTGCTCAGAACCAGGCCGCATTCAATCCCTCCAACACCATCTTCGGTTTGATTTCTGTCTTTCTCCTTTCTCTTTTGGGTTTGTATACTGCATAACATTGCCTTCCTTCATGTTACAAGTTGTCACTAAATTATCAATCAATGTTCAATACTGACTATTTGGAATCTGGCCGAACATCATTTACCCGTTGCATTTTTCATTCATGAAGTTACTCCCTATAGTTTGGGAATGGAATATGTTTTCTATGGAAGACAATTTTTAGGTGGCATATTGTTAATTTACATATATTGATTGCTTTGTTTGAATGGCAGATGTGAAGCGACTAATAGGAAGGAAATTTAACGACACAATAGTACAAAATGACATGAAGCTCTGGCCATTTAAAGTCACAGCTGGCACTGACGATAAGAGTGCTGAGAAACCTATGATAGTAGTGACTTACAAGGGTGAAGAGAAGACATTTGCTGCCGAAGAAATATCTTCAATGATCCTCCAAAAGATGAAGAGCATTGCTGAGGCCTATCTAGGCAAAAAAGTCAAGAATGCTGTTATCACTGTTCCTGCATACTTCAATGATGCACAGCGTCAGGCTACGAAAGATGCTGGTGTCATTGCCGGGCTCAATGTCTTGCGTATCATCAATGAGCCCACAGCTGCTGCAATTGCTTATGGTCTCGACAAAAAGGGAGTTGGAAAAGGCAATCCTGCTTCAAAGAACATACTGGTCTTTGATCTGGGTGGTGGGACTTTTGATGTCTCTATTCTCACAATTAAGAAGGATGTGTTTGAAGTCAAAGCTGTTAACGGGGACACCCATCTAGGTGGAGGGGATTTCAATAATAGAATGGTGAGCCACTTTGCAGCTGAGTTTGAGAGGAAACACAAGAAAGACTTGAGTGGAAGCCCCAGGGCTCTAGGGCGGTTGAGAGCGGCTTGTGAGAGGGCCAAGAGAAACCTCTCTTCAGCCACTGAAACATCCATCGACATTGAGTGTCTCTTTGAGGGCATCGATTTCTCTTCGACCATCACCCGTGCACGGTTTGAGAAAATGAACTTGGATCTGTTCAAAGGTTGTATGGAGCTAGTTGAAAAGTGTTTAAAGGATGCCAAAATGGAGAAGAGGGACATTCATGACGTTGTTGTGGTTGGTGGGTCTACCCGGATCCCTAAGGTTGAGGAACTGTTGCAAGAACACTTCCTCGGAAAGCTCTCCAAAAGTATAAACCCTGATGAGGCGGTTGCCCACGGAGCAGCTTTTCATGCGGCATCTCTGGCTGGTGTCTGTTTGGGTGTGAATAAGGATGTCGTGCTTTTGGATGTTGCTCCATTATCTCTTGGGATTCGGGTGCATAGTGGTGATATGTCTGTTGTGATTCCAAGGAATACCCCCATCCCTACAAAGAGGACCAGGCACAATTACCAAAATGTTCATGACAACCTAACATCTGCTTTGTTCTCTGTGTATGAGGGGGAAATGCCAAAAGCAGATGACAACTATTTCCTGGGCGAATTTTCCCTCCACAACATTCCTCCAGTGCCCGTTGGTGTTGCTAAGTATGATGTTGATTTTGAGATCGATGCCAATGGCATCTTGACTGTGTCTGCAGTACTAGTGGGTAGTGACAACTGGGACCAAATCACAATAATCAATCGCAGCTTGAGGCTGTCAAAGAAGGATATTGTTGGGATGGTGAAGGAGGCCGAGGAGTACAAGGCTCAAGATGAGGAGCGTAAGAAGGCAGCCGAGGCCAGGAATGCATTGGAGAATTACATTCACCACTTGAGGGAGTTAAGGCACACTTTGAGCAGTGGGGGAAATCGTGTGAGGATGGAGGTGAACTTGATCGTTTTGTCAGATGCAATTGAGGATGCGGCTCAATGTTTGCATTTGAAGGATAATGGGCTTGCCAAAGTTGACATCTTTCAGGGGAAGATGAACGAGCTGCAGAGGATAGTTGGCCATTTATTCCCAAGCTGGAGCGTCCCCAGGTCAGTCGCCCAGTTTTCAAGCCTAGCGTTGGACGAAAAAACCGGCACAAAATTATTCCAAACTAAACCGATATGGTACCGGCTAAAGAAATGGTTTTCAGATGGTTCTGGTAAATAATATCCCAATAGACCATTCCGGTTTCAAAATGGTACGGGCCGGGACGGGTTTTAAAAAATTAGAAGCAAATATATCAAACCAAACTATTAGAATTAGTTAGCTAATTAGAAGCAAATATATCAAACCAAACTATTAGAATTAATAATTAGTGAAAGGATTGCGTAAGTTCAGGGATTTTTGTGAAAGGATTTGAAGTTCAGGTACTACTTCGAAATTCCAGCTAAAGTTTAGGTACCATTTGTGAAATTTACTCCTCTTCTCTCCTCCAATTATAATATTACCTCCGTCCCATTTTAAATTGCATGTTTGTCTTTTTCCTCCGTCCCAAAATAAGTTGTCTGCTAGTTGTTTTTGTAAATTTTTAAGAGTAAAATACCTAAACTACCTCTAAAATGAGTCACTTTTCTCCACATTATCTTCTCATTCATCGTCATCCCTTCAAAAAAGTACTGACAATTTTGGAAAATCAATTCTATTTTTTCCTTTCCTTAAATATGCCCAAAAGTCAAAACAGGTAATTTAATACGGAACGGAGGGAGTAGTTTTTTTATTAAATAGAGTATATACAACACCTTTCATTGATAGAAGCTCTAACTCCAATTATAAAGGATGTTCTAATTTTTGAAACATCCGTTGAGCAAGAAAATTGCTACAATATAGTTTATAGCTTCTATGTTTTAACATTTGAAGGTTCCATTGGATATGCTTTTAGCCTTTTCATCTTTGGCTTTTGGAGCAAATCGGCTAGTTAAAGATGCCATTTTTCGAACATCTAATTATAGTGACAAAACACCTCTTGGGGAGTAAGCAGTCAATTTTTTGTTGAACAATCGTTAACCAAACATGGCTTTTCTTTGTATTATTTTTATTGATTTATTGTTGATAAACAGTTATTAATTTATAAAATATAAATAAATTAAATATTATTTTACGAAAATAAAATGAATTAAATTATAGATTAATCATTTGTGGATACTCATAAATATAGAAGAGAGTTTTATATTCCCTTTATTCCAAAATGTAAGCAATAATTATTATTTCGATCTCTAAATATTTGTCACACTTGTATTCCCCATAGAAATTATCAAGTTTTTTCAATTCTATTTATTAACATATTGGTATAGAAATAAAAAATAAAATTTACATATCAAAAAACTGCATGAAAAGTTTTTCGAAATAAGAGGTGTCAAGAATATTTTATTTTATCAAATAACCAATTCAATGAAAACGTAGAAATAAACAAAAGTTCCCGCGATTGCTGAAAAAGCAACTGTGACAAATATTTTGGGACAGAGAGAGTATCTGTTTACTTGTTTTGATTGACCATTTGACAAAATAAAATATTTTTGTCGCATCTTCTTTTGTAGAATTTTTGATCTATTTTTTAAGGATGTAATTTTTACTTTGTGTTTCCACTAATTTGTAAATAAAATCATTTTAAAATAGATGATATTTGCACTTCGTTTGAAATGTTGCTTACAATTTGGGGCGAAGGGAATAAATATTTTAGTTAAAATGAAAAAACTGATTTAAAAATAAGTAAGACAATCTTTTGAAATAGTTCTAACAAACCCAAAAGACATTAGTCAAATAATGATTTTAGCTCTTCGATTAGTAAAAAAACTAAAGTCAATCAAAGATTTCAAAAATTATCCGAAAAAACTAATCCCTCCGTCCCAAAAAGATTTACACCTTTCAAAAAAATTGTGTCTCACAATCTCCTACCCATTTCTATTAAAAAACCACGTTTACCCCTTACTTTTTCAAACGCTACATATTACATCATACCTTTTTCTTTAAAATATACACATTACATCCTACTTTTACACATCAAATTAAGATTATTTTTGAAAAGTCAACACAAAATTATCTCTCCCTTAATTTTCATTTTAGTCAAAACGTGTGAAACTTTTTGGGACGGATGGAGTATTTTTCTTCAATTTTATTGAATTTACAAAATAATTGTACGCTCCTTTTTTTCATCCAAATAATTAAGCCAATTACATCCGTCCCATAAATTCTTCTATATTTGATTTCCGAAAAAATTTAAGAAAAGTTTTGAAAACTTAAAAAAAATAAAAGTTTTGTACGAACTTTGAACCTCAATTAAGATAAAATAATAATGTATATTAATAAAAAATGACTTCATTAAATTTAACATGTTTAGAACATTCAAAATCTTATTATAATTTATTACCCCGGAGTAATATATAATAGAAGTTAGGAGTCATCTACACTTGAACCAGTTTTTCAAAATCAATTTATTTTTTAAAGAAGAAATATAAAAAAATTTTATTTTTATAACATATTTATATATTTGTTCGGTTTGGGATTTTTCGGTATGGAAAGTCACCTCATATCGATCTCAAATATTAGACCGACCATTAAGCTCGGTAGGATACGGTTCGTTTTTGGTATTTTATCAGTTTGCTAATCTCGATTTTTTCGGGAAAATTTCAGAATCGATTCGGTACTTGCTCACCCCTAATTTGGAGAGTCAGTTCATGTTCTTTTAAGTTTATTCTTATTACCTATTATTCTTTTTCTTATTAGAATCTTTACTAAATTTAGATTAAATCAAAACATATTCTAATGAGATAAAAAATATTCAGATCATGTGAAAAGAATATGATTGGGTATCATTATTAGCCCATAACACATTAAGCCCAACATGTAAAATCCGTGCGGTGTACTGCGCTTTACTCTCCTAGGGTTGTGCATTATTCGAACCGACCTGAAGCAGCGAGGCGCCGCTTCCCGTCCGCCGTCGCCGTTCTAGCTCATTTCTCCGCCGCATCCGGTCAGTCCGCGAGCATCATCCCCAGAAAAGGTATGTTTCTTTTTGCGCAGATATCAGACAATATTATTACTCCGTACGTGTCAATTTGGTTTATGTTTGTTAGATGTTACTGCACTAGAAAAAAGGACAGGGATATGAGTTTATGACGAAACAAACACTGATTTCTAACCGAGAAAATTTGTATTGTCTGGTCTGTCGGGTTCAGGTCGAATCTAAAGCCCAACGTTTAGAGTTCAAGCTAAAATGTTTGACCATATACAGTTTTGGGTCGGATTCGGATATACTGAAATCCAAACTGAACTCGGCCTGTTGTCATCAGTAATGGCCAGTCTTGTTTCAATTATCCAAATTGCTACATACAAAGTTTTTTATATTAGCTACAAATCTTGTTTTTGATCTTCCAATAAATTTTTAAGTCTGCATCATTTTTGGGTTTTTTGATCTATTAATCTGTTTTTCTTTTCTTGTTTGGCTTCAAACAAGCCGGTTGATCCCCACAAGAGTTTGGCTTCAAGAGTATTATTATATCCTCTGTTGGCTTTTCCACTTTTGCATCATCAAATGACATTTTAACTGATATTGCTTTTGCATATAAACACAATGAGTCTAATTCACAAATAATCATACCAATCCCAACGCTGGAGCTCAATGAAATTGATTTTATTAAGAAATAGGTTTATTTTTGAAGGCTGGTTTTTCATACAGCTTAGACTCCACAAATAGATATAGTTTTAACTATTAAATATTGAGCCTAAAAAATAAGATTAATGCTAAAGGTTTGATTTATTTAGCATTCTATGCGAATGGCTTAATTGGAAGACGTTTATGCGCATGTGTGTTGGCTTTAGTGGACCAACTGCAAGATTTTTATTCCATACTTTTGAAGCTTTCAAAGGAAAATTCAAAAATCCCAATTTCTTCAATATAGAGTACTCTGTATTAGTAGGATAAATACTGTGATATGTTAGGTGCTACACTAGTGGTAAAATACTTACCCTACAGATCTTCTATCCCCCTCTGTATTACGAGTAACTGTTTTCTTTGTTTTTTTAATAGCCATGGCAAAGAAGCGAGATAGAGTGACAAATCCGGAGCCATTTCTTGCTGGAGCAGATGAGAGTTCAAAAGCCTCTTCCCGCAAACGCTCTAAAGCTCCGAAATCCCACCAGGAACAACAGAAGGTATTATCTTCTGGTATGAGCTCCAAGATACTGAAGGAGGCTTTAATTCAGCAAAAAGAAGTTGAAGAGGAAGAGGCTCAACAGCAGAACCATGGCGGCTTAGTTTTTAAAAAAGATCTTTTAGCTGAGGTTGAGGAGGAGGAGGAGAATGATGACGACGATGATAATGATGATTTAGACAACTTTACAGGGTTTTCTGAAACCAATGAATATGTTGACGTCGAGGATAAGGTTGATGAAGAAGAGGAAAGGTTATTGGCAGCTTTTTTATCAACAGATGATTGTCCCCAGAGGACTTTGGCCGACATTGTCATAGAGAGGCTAAAACAAAAGGATGCCCAAGCTTCTACGGAACTGCAAGTGATGCCCAATTTAGATGTGTCCATTATTAATTTGTACAAAGAAGTTGGCCAATCTCTTAGCAAATACACATCAGGGAAAATTCCAAAAGCTTTTAAACACATACCTGCAATGAGGAATTGGGAGGATGTCTTGTATCTGACTGAACCGGATAAATGGTCACCAAATGCTATGTACCAAGCCACGCGACTTTTTGCTTCAGCTATGGGTACGTCAAAGGTAGAGCGCTTTTACAAGTTTGTATTGCTTCCACGTGTCAGGGCAGATATTAAGAAAAACAAGAAGCTGCATTTTTCCCTACATCAATCTTTGAAGAAAGCTCTTTTTAAACCAGCTGCCTTCAATAAAGGAATCTTGTTCCCATTGTGTGAGTCACGAACTTGCACTACACAGGAGGCTAAAATCTTCAAAGGGGTTCTTCAGAAGTCATCTTTTCCAGCCCTTCATGCTAGTGTTGCACTGCTGAAGCTTGCCGAAATGGAATACTGTGGCACAACAAGTTTCTTCATACAGATACTGATCGAAAAGAAATATGCTTTGCCATACCGTGTCCTCGATGCAATGGTTGCCCATTTCTGGAGATCCTATGAAGAGCCAAAGGTTATGCCTGTGATCTGGCACTTGTCCCTTCTCTGCTTTGTGCGAAGATACAAAGCTGATTTACTGAAAGAAGATAAATCTAATATCATCAGACTGGTGGAAAAACAAAGGCACCACTTGATTACTCCTGAAATACTGCAGGAGTTGAATAAGAGCAGAAGTCGCGGGGAAAAAGAGGCGGATCCCATGCCAATATCCACGCCCGTTTGTGTTATGAATAAAACAATTGATGAAGATAGGTTTGATATCCCTGAAGTTCCCATGGAGGAGGATTAAAGTATTTGCTGGGGGCACTGGCCTCTGAGTGAGATTGTTCTTTAAATTTTGACTATTTGTGTTTGCAGTAGGTTCTATTTTTGTTTTCTCTTTCAAATGTTTACTGGGATTGAGAGTTTTGTTGCTACTGTTATGTGTTTCAAATGTTATATTGTATGCAACTTGGGTCCTCTAATCGGTGGCTTTACTATTTGAATTTTTAACCTTATTATTCATAGGTCAAATTTTAATTTTTTATTATATAATTTCATCTATTACTCTCTTCTTTCCAAATTGATTGGTTCATTTTGGCTTTAGGATGATTAAGAAGACCATTGAAAGATATTGAACATTCAAAAATGAGTGTTTGTAATTTATTTTAAAGAGAAGTATTTTGGATTTTAAAACTAAAAAGGGAAAGAAAAATATGAAAATTATTTTAGGACAAATGAAAAAGAAAATGCATAAACATTTGTAGAACATGGAGTATTTCTTACTCCGGAGTCGGGATACAAAACATATTCTTTGTACAAAAGCATTTTCGTTACACATTACACTATTGTATGAATTTGTAATAATCATCAATTAATCTATTGTTTTCAAGTCGGACAAAAATTACAAGTTCAATTACTTCAAATATTAAACCAATAATCAATTTATATGTATGTATGTATGTATGTATATTTTTAATTTTTATACTCCGTAAATAATTGCCCCCAATAAAAAAAATCTGCCCCAGTCCATTAATGGGCCCAAACCAATTAATTATCTCAAGGCTAATGACCCAATCCAAAAGTGGCCCAATTGTCCAAATTCCCAAAAATTAAATATACTCCCTTAAAATTATCCGCTTCCCCTTCCCTTTGGCTTTTGCGGAAACCGAGAAGCGGAGCAGGCCGAGCAAGTGAAACGCCGAACAGGAGCACCGAGCAGTCGAGCACCGCCGTCGCCTGTCCGCCGCGTCGCCGTCCGAGCAGTCGAGCACCGAAAAGGAGCACCGAGCAGTATGTTCTATCTATTTAATTGTCTCTTGTTTTTAAATTTTATTTTTTTTCACTTTAATTTACTTAATGCCCCAGCGAAAAAAATTCCTCGATCCGCCACTGCATACGTATGTATTTGCATAGTTTATTTTGACTTGTTAGCTACTTCCACGAGCGAGATATGATTGTATAAGCAGGATATCGGTCGTTTATGCTGATTTGAAACACTATCAAAATTCTGCTTATTCGATTTGTTCTGATCTGTAGCAGCTTATATTTGTTTGATTAGGTCTAGTGATTCTTACTTGGATATTTGGTTGTAATGAACTGATTACCTCACTGTTTTGTAACAATTGAATCTGGAAGTTATAAATTGGTTTGATTCCAGTGTATTCCTAATAGCTTGAAGCATGATATATGGTTGTAATGAACTGATTACCATTTACCACAATATTTCGTAACGATTTATTCAACTGGTGTATTCCAAACAGATTGAAGCTTGAGCATAAACACAAGAGTTACCAACTTTGACTCTCGGTGATCGGCTTGGCTAAAAGTCCTGGGGTTACACTATTTCATTTTTAAGCAACCTTTGCTTATATTTGCAGTTGAGGATATCATCTCATTTGTTATTGAGTTTGGTAGCTGGTAGAGATAGATATGAGCAATTCAGCAGCAGGGCCCTCATCAAAAGAAAAAGTTGGAGCATCCCAACCATCAGAAACCTCATTGAAACGTAAACGTGGAATGTTTCAAAAGGATTGTAAGTTACCCTTTTGCCATTGAAAGCAACTCTATCTGAATACTTAAATTACCCATCATACAAAACTTACCTGCTTCTTTTATGCTGGTGTTCAGTGCAGCGTATGATGTATGGATTTGGAGATGATCCCAATGTATGCATTTCTTTCTCCACCATTCAGTTTCCTTATGTAAATATGTTCAGTGGAATTCTTTTTGGCAAAATCGCAACTTTAGAACAGTTTCATATCGAACTTTTAAGGCATTCAATAAAATGGGGAATCCTATACTTAAGATTGTTTGTTTATTTGATCATGTAACTATCACATCCCATAAACTCACTTTTCTGCAACGTATCTTTGGTTTAGCCACTCTTATTTATTTATTTATTTATTTATGCATATTCATTTCAGCCATTTCCAGAGACTTTGGCACTTGTAGAGGACATTGTTGTGGAATATGTCACAGATATGGTGAGTAAAAACTTTTCTCAACCGGCTGTTTTCATCTGGAATCATAAATCTTCTGATTTCGGTGTATTGTATAGCAGCCCATATTGAAGATGAGTTAGAGTTTTAGTTGGCCTTAATTATCTGAATGTTTTTTTTGAATAAGTTGCATTTGTTGATTGTAAACATAATTGTTTTAATGTCTTTAGGTACACAAAGCTCAAGATCTTGCAACCAAAAGAGGGAGGCGTTTGACAGAAGATTTTCTGTTTTTAGTCCGAAAGGTATGTCATCTATTCCTCTTGCTATTTGATTTACTCTATAAACTTGTTACACTAAAGAAAAATAACGTGAAGCCCATTTTTGTAGTATTTTAATAACTAAAAAGTGGCACCTTGGAAACAATTGTGTCTCGTCGCGTTTCCACCGGAAATTTAATGTACAATGGGACATAGAGTAGCATTTTTGGAATGACTAAACTTTGCGATTCACGTACTATTTTTTATAAATAAAAAATTTCTAGTAGTATTCACATGGAATTTTTGAAGTAATAGTTTTACTCCCATGTGTCCTAAGTTTTTAACTTTCCTTTTTGGATTGAGCTAGATATTCTTCGCATTGCCTTTTAGGAATGCTTTTTGTGCTCCAAATTATTTCTCATGAACCAAAATCACACAACTTTTTATCTTTTTGTAAATAAATTCTATAACGACACTTGAACTACCCAAATTTGATATCCGAGCCAAAATTTATGGTTAAATATTATTTTCTTTTATTTTTGGACGCATATAATGACGTCTAACGGAAATGAACGGAGTTATAACAGAGTTACAGTTGAGACTCTTGACGTGAACCATATTATAACTTGGGAATGTTTATGTTACAAGTACATTTTATGATTATTTTTATATGATCACTCACACTCTAAAATGTGGGGTTATGATTTTGCCTTAAATATATGCTCTTGTTGATACCTTGTGTTCCTACTTCCCTGTGTTTTGAGTACAACCTCTTGAAGGTAGGCTGCATTTCCGTAACATATTTTGGCTATAAAAAATTTTTATTCTGAGAATTGAACTTGAAAATGAATATTGGACCTAATGACGCTGTTGTGCAGGACTTGCCAAAACTTAACCGGTGCAAAGAGTTGCTGACATTGAACGAGGAGCTAAAACAAGCAAGGAAGGCCTTTGATGAAGACAAGTTGGCCACACTTGAATAGTTGATTCCATTGTCACTCCCAATGTAATATATGGTTTGTAGACTAATGGCCATGTCTGTGCTACAAGTTATTATAAGAACATGCATAGATTGAAGGTTATACTTTGTATTTTTTTCTTCATCTGATCTTGTTGCCCCAATTCCTTTCTTACTTGGTATATCCACATATTACTTAGGTAGAGGGGTAGAGAAGAGAGTGAGTGGTTCTCTTTTTGGCCAAAACACAAGGGAGTGATGTAAAGTGTGAGTTCCAAGGTTTATCAAGTGAGATTGTGAGAACACACCCAAAGTTGTTTTTATTGAAAAAAACCAAAAAAAACAACTTTGGAAGCTATAAAAAGTGTTGTATTTACATTTTTGTATTGGCACTTTTTAAAGTTACTATGGTTAGCATTTGTTAGTGAACTTTACAAGTGATCCATCTTCAATGGTGATTAGTGAATATTAGTGTCATCTCATCATAAAGTGTCATCTCACTACAAAACATCATCTCACTTGGGTCTAGAGGTAGCAAATCGGTGTTGGATTTGGGTTTGGTCATTTTGGACTTTAGTTACATCGGATTTGAATGAGTTTGGGTTAGTTTGATAAATACATGTTCATGATCTAGTGTCATTGGGTTTGGATCGACTCATCGGGTCATGATATTTATTTTAAGAATATTTAAATTCATACTAGCACTTGTATTTTGTACTGATAAAATAATAAATACCGAAATACATATATTAAACCTCTTAGAATAAATTATTTTAAATTTTTAATTTCGTTCTAGATATATTTGACAATTTTATGAATAATATAAAAAATTTAATGTTTCACTTTTTTTAAAAAATTTAAGATAACTATGTGATTTCTTTAAAAATTTTGAAAGAAATTACACAAAATGAGTAACACTCTGTAATTAAAAAAAATAAACATAACTTTGTTTTTATTGCATTCTTTTTCATATTAGAGTATACTAGACTCGTACCCGTGCGATGCACGGAAAGAAAATTTATCATAATTTAAATTATAAAAGTTAAAAAAATAATGTATTACAATTACATTTGTTGAAGGGCGAATACAAATTTAATACTTTAAAAATGAATTGTCTTTTCAAATGTTTAAATAAACACTTCATTGATTTCAATCACAAAGCTCTAATATCTAAAATTGCAACCTCAAAGCAGTGTCGAATACCAAGAACAACACCTTCAAGCTCTTATATCCTTAGAACTTATAGTACCAGCCCATCATGTCTCCCAACTTTTGCCATGAAAATGAGTTGCATAAAATGAAAAGGACAACAGTTTGAGTTTTATTAAGAATGAAACCGATTGTTATTTTGAAAATTTAAAAATAAACTCAAATTTTAACTTTTATGTAACAAAAAATTGATGTCCATTGCAAATTGTTAGGTTTTACAAATTCTTCAACAAAATGAATCATAATGAATGTACAAACAACATACGCCTATAAGTGAGATTACCCACCCTTCGTCTTTGAATCTGCTTTTGTTTCTCCCCTACATGTATCCCTATGCAAGAGGAATCACCTTTCTTGCTTCCAAGAATGTTGGAAAATCACCTATGAGGTTTTCAAAAATAAAACTAAGCTAATATTTGATAGGATAATCAAATATAAAAATATGATTTAACATACAAATCAGATAGTACAGATTCATTCAAAGAATACAAAATGTGTAGTACTTGTTAACAAATTACTAAAAAGCACTTCAGGCTAAATTAAACCATCGAAATTAAAATAACTAAATCAATTTCTTCTTAACGAATGTTTGACGCTATAGCTTATTAATGGCCTCTCGCAAG